CATATGTCTACCACAAATCCAATTGTTAACCTGAAATAAACCAATTTAGCTAAGTAGAGGGCACCACACTGTAGTACAGACACGATTTCGGGATATTATTTATCTAGCCAATTCTTTTTTAGATGCCCTTGGATTCTGAAATCAGATATTTCAGCTTTTGTTCCCCACCTGCCAGGTGAGGGTTGTTAGATTTTATGTCAGTTGCCTCCTCCTCCTCCTCCTGCTCCTCCTCCTCCGCCTCCTCCTGCCTCGTCCTCCTCTCCTCCTCCTCCTCGTCCTCCTTGTTATCCTTGTCGTCCTTGTCGTCCTCGTCGTCCTTGCTCAACTGCGACCCGCGATCCACAGTGTTCTCTGCCGGACCTCAACCACGACCACCCACGCCCAGTGTTCCCTGCCGGACCTCAACCGCGACCATCCACGCCAAGTGTTCCCTGCCGGACCTCAACCACGACCATCCACGCCCAGTGTTCCCTGCCGGACCTCAACCACGACCATCCACGCCCAGTGTTCCCTGCCGGACCTCAACCGCGAGTATCCACGCCAAGTGTTCCCTGCCGGACCTCATGTAGGAAGATATGGAACAAAGAATGTGCAGAAGAAAGTTAGAAAGAATGTCAGAAAGAATGTCAGAAGATATGCCAGAAGATATGCCAGAAGATATGCCAGATAGAATGCCAGATAATATGCCAGAAGATATGCCAGATAGAATGCCAGATGGAATGCCAGAAGATTTGCCAGATAGAATGCCAGAAAATATGCCAGAAGATATGCCAGATAGATATGCCAGAAGATATGCCAGAAGATATGCCAGAAGATATGTAAGAATATATGCCAGAAGATATGTCAGATAGAATGCCAGAAGATATGTCAGAATATATGCCAGAAGATATGCCAGATAGAATGCCAGAAGATATGTCAGATAGAGTGCCAGAAGATATGCCAGATAGAATGCCAGAAGATTTGCCAGATAGAATGCCAGATCATATGCCAGAAGATATGCCAGATCATATGCCAGAAGATATGCCAGATAGAATGTCAAATAGAATGTCAGAAGATATGTCAGATAGAATGCCAGAAGATTTGCCAGTAAGAAAATGTATAAATGTCATGGTGGGGATCACACGAAGTAAAGTAATTTATTTGAAGAGACCGAAAAAGTGAAGAGGACACAGGATTTCCAACACCACAGATCAACTGCTCATTTTCACTGATCATCGCAGTGTGCGGATCAAAACTTGACGAACTGATGGAGTCGTTGGGGCCCAAATCATTGCAAAAAAGAATATCAAGAAATGTTTGAGAGCAACCAATTTTGAACCCATCCCGTCCCCACAATATGAAATGGTCAAACGAAACTCAAGTGGGATGTATTGGATGTGTTCAGGGGGATTTACCACGTTTTTTTTTGTTGGTGAAACTGTTAAACTTCCACCTTAGGGCCCAGTTTTGTCGTTAAAGCCCGCTTCTATGCTGGTTCAGCCATCAATTTCGCTGTGAAACCCATCATTTCCTACAGAAACCACCCCACTAAGGACCTGGGCGTCCCTGCCCAGTGGACTGAGTTGGCTCCTGGGCAAACTTTCAATCCAAACATACCTGGGGCACCAATTTATAGATATACCTGGAGCTTCAAATTTATGTTTTATGTTGGAGCTATTTCTAATGAGCGGCGCTATAGAAAACAGCCCAAAAAGACAATTAATTTTGAGCATTTGAAGGTCCAGGTATTTATATATATATATATATGTATACTATTGTATACTACATATACTTGCTTTAAATATGATACTGCAAGAGTTGTACAATATGAATCTGGTCAAACTTGGGTATATATCCCTGATTGGGACGATCGGATAGTCCACCGTCGGACGATCTTCCCATGAAACCTCCAGTAAATTAGCCTAGACCCAGCCAGGGGTTGGAAGATTATATCGTTTCCACTCAAAATAGGTGATGTTCATTGATTTTCAAGGTCCGACTGTGAATTTTTACCAGAGATCTCCATTTTTACCATCTGGTGATTTGACGTAGCCATGGAAAATCACCAGGTAAACCATCTATTTCTATGGGCCATCTATACCATGGCAAACTGTTAAATAACCAGAGGGTAACTGCCTTATGCCTCCATTTTCCTTGGTGAAATCCCGAGACCAGACCTCGGCTGCCCTTGCTCCCATCACTGGCGCGGCCTGGTGTCGTCTCATTTTAAAAAAAAAGCGGGACGACAAAAACCTCCCTGAAACGAGGTCGAAAAAAATGACACCCCAATTTCTCATTTCCAATGCGTTCCAATCAACAATGGATAACAGTTCTATATTTTAACGGCTCAAATGGCCATGTCCAAGAAAAAATCCATCCAAACATGGCCACTTTCTCTCTTCCATGTGCTTTTTTTTGGTCACAACTGTACTCCAAATGCTGTACAACAATTCATCCAAAATTACATGCGTGGTTGTCAAAGTCTCCGTGTCTGGTAGGTCACCGTCCCCATCATGATGAAGAACCCACTTTCCCGGGCGTTTCATGGCTACATCGACATGTGTTTCTCCAAAAATTAGCTGTGCCCCGGATTCCATGGAAAAAAATCAGCAGCGTTTTCAGGTGATGCTGCCCCATGTCGGACACGCGTTTCCATGTTTCATCATGTGTCACCATCTGGGACCCTAACCATCCTATGGCTTATCATGATAATCCCTCTGTTTTGAAAAAAAACATATAGGATGGTTATCCTATGGCTTATCATTATTAATCTATGGCTTATCATACATTGACATGTAGGTTAATTAGGCAAACCCATATCAAATCGTCTACCTACCTTCCTGCCTACTTATACCATCTTATACCTATCTACCGATCTATCCCAATGTTCATCAGCGATATAAGATCCCAAACCCAAACATGGCAACTAAACCATCCATTCTGGGAATGTCCCCAGTCGCACCAATGTCCCCAGTCGCACCTCATGTGGCCTGGTACTGACTGGAGGCACGAATGCCATGGCCTCGCGACAGGAGGATGTTGGGATGTTACCCTCCTCTCTGCTGAGATGGACATGCCAAAAAAAGTCTCACCAACATGGACATCTGAAAAAAAAACATCGAAAATTCGCAAATGACTGGAATGAAAAAAGGCTCGAATTTGCATGTGTAAGGCAATTTTGTGAAACGCCAAAATTGCGAAATCACTTCTAATTTCACCATCATGGGCTGATATGGGGAGAGAAGCTGGAAGTTCAACGGTTGACACATCCAGAGTGCAAGCAGGATCAGGACCGGTTGGTTCCACGTTTCCCCAAGCGATGGCCGTTGTTTGCCATGGAAAGATTGGAGGATGCCCTATCTTCAGACAAAACCATGAAAGGTGTGGTGTGAATTGGCTCAAAAAAAACAAAATATCTACAGTAACCAAAATCAATCATGGTTTAAGATCTCAGTCTAGCATTGCCATAACTTGCCGGCAGTCCACTCCCATTTCTGGAGGCTGAGATCTTTGTGATCTTTCAGGGAATTTGATGATTGAAACCTTCAAGCCATCAACGATGTATCCGATGGTCATGGGTCACTTGGTAACTGCAATAACTGTTGGTCGGATGGGCTGATAAAATCAACTTAGGGCTCCAAATGCACCTTTTGGCCAACCATCTGCCAACCCAGCTTCTCAAAACTCAACCATCATTGAGATAAATCATCATTTCTGGCTGAAATCTCCCCAGTCTTTTGGTGAAATTCTCCGTTCTTGGTGGTTAAATCACCATTTTGCATGATAAAATCGATTGAAATCGCCATCAGTCAACAACGGTCGCGTGTGGCCCCACAGTCACAGCCGAAGCCAAGAAGAAAAGCACCTGGGTCCAGTGTTGCGAGGCTTGCCATGGGAACATCCTAAGATCTGAGACTGAAAAAAAATAAAATGTAAGAAATATACAAAAATGGGGATAGTACCCACCCCATCTGGGGCCTTGCTGAACCCTTTCAGGGGGTCTTGTCGCCGCTGAAGAAGAGGAGCAGAACTGCATGAATCATTCAATCTCATCATGATTCATATCTCATGAAGATTCTGCTTACAGATGGTATTACTGTATATATTCTCTTAAAAACCGTACAGATATCTGTGCAAAGCAATTATATACTGTACATGCCTAGGTCTATGGATATCAAGTGCATATACATGATACATGTATTAGTACACGATATATAATGCAGTATATACATGTATATAATAGAAAATCCAAGTTTTGCTGAGTGTTCAATGTTCATATTCAAACAACCGCCCGTCTTTCCATGTGCCATGGCAGCCGTGGCACGCGCATCATGGCAGTTGGTGCCGTCAAGCTGTGAAACAGCTCAGATTGCGATGGGACAACTAATAACTGTCGGAGCCGATGTGAAGCCAAAATGTGTTGTGAATTGCATGGAATTTCATGGCAATTCGAAGTTGGCATTGCTTGAAAGCAGTTGGTGCTTGGGCGATAGTTCCATAGAAAGGGCCCGTGGACCAAACTTCCTTGGCCCCTCAACATTTCTGATGTGGACCAATTGGATCGAAATGGATCTCGGTGATGATGGAGCCCCTCGCTAGAATACCCTCTCGTTATGTCAACAGTTTGCTATTGAAAATGGCCCAGTCGAAATAGTGAGTTTTCCCATGAAAAATGGTGATTTTCCATAGTTATGTAAACGTTTACCAGAGGGTAGTCATTGGGGGTCATCATCCAGTTGAGGGGAAGTAGATTAAAATGAAAGACATTCTTCAAATTTCAAAGCACCCAGTTGCAGTAGGGAGACAGCCCCCAAAACAAACCCCCCACAACGCACTCTAGAAATCGACAAAAGCGTCCAACCTGTTCAACATGATCTCAAGATATCCATTTGAGGACCCAAAAAAACATCCGCCCTGCCCTCTCAAACACACACACAAAAAAAAACCTCCCAAGTATTGATCCACAAAAACCAACCCCTTACCTCCAAACAAAAAGGTGAGGAAAAAAAAAACGGAGTTTTGCTCCAAGAAGCCTGCCCCGGAACCCCGCCCTCTCCCCTTTTCTGCCATAAAAAGTCGCCGCAGCCCGTCGACTCAGCGCTGGATGAACTGCATGGAGCTGATCGCACCGAGGAAAAAGACGGTGGGGACCTGGGACGAATCCATGGCTCCCATGGTGATGAATGGGCCATGGGAAAAGGACGGTGAACTCATGTCAATGGGAATTTCAGGATCCTAAAATGGAGGTACCTAGCATATATTGTTGGCCTATTTTTGAGGCCTATGCAAGTGAATATCACCACAAAATATTGCCTTATATGGTACAGTACCTCCATTTTAGAATCCTGAAATTCCCATTGATCATGGGGAAATGGATGAGATGTGATGATTTTTACATGATGTAAACATCTCCTGGTTAAATGATGTTGAATGATGTTAAGATGAACTCATCAACTAATCATTCCATTAAAGATCCCAGTAATTCTGAGTATTCGATGCATTTCAAACCATTCATGTAGTTTTTGTTAATTATAATGGTAAATGCTCTGTGTGCAACAAACAAGTCTTGTGATGATTTGGGTATAATACTCTTCAGCATCTGAGCGTATCCCACCAACAATTAATGGGGTGTTAAGCTTATGACCCCGTGTAGAACAGAGAAAGTTGTGTTTAGCAATAAATAAACTACTTCACTTCGAATGATCCCCACCGTGGCATCTTTACATTTTCTTACTGGCAAATATTCTGGCATTCTATCTGACATATCTTCTGGCATTCTATCTGGCATATCTTCTGGCATTCTATCTGACATATCTTCTGGCATATCTTCTGGCATTCTATCTGGCAAATCTTCTGGCATATCTTCTGGCATTCTATTCTATCTGACATATCTTCTGGCATTCTATCTGACATATCTTCTGGCATTCTATCTGACATATCTTTTGCATTCTATCTGGCATTCTATCTGGCATATCTTCTGGCAAATGTTCTGGCATATCTTCTGGCATTCTATCTGGCAAATCTTCTGGCATTCTATCTGGCATATCTTCTGGCATTCTATCTGGCATATCTTCTGACATTCTATCTGACATATCTTCTGACATTCTTTCTGGCATATCTTCTGACATTCTGTCTGGCATTCTATCTGGCATATCTTCTGACATTCTATCTGGCATATCTTCTGACATTCTTTCTGGCATATCTTCGGACATTCTGTCTGGCATATCTTCTGACATTCTTTCTAACATTCTTTCTGGCATTCTATCTGGCATATCTTCTGACATTCTTTCTGGCATATCTTGTGGCATTCAGAACATTCTTTCTGGCATATCTTATGACATTTCTTCTGGCATTCTATTTGGCATATCTTCTGACATTCTATCTGGCATATCTTCTGACATTCTTTCTGGCATTCTATCTGGCATATCTTCTGACATTCTATCTGACATATCTTCTCACATTCTTCCCGTTGAGGTCCGGCAGTGCCCACTGCGATCTGGAAGTCGCGGTTGAGGTCCGGCAGTGCCCACTGCGATCTGGAAATCGCGGTTGAGGTCCGGCAGTGCCCACTGTTATCTGGAAGTCGCGGTTGAGGTCCGGCAGTGCCCACTGCGATCTGGAATTCGCCGTTGAGGTCCGGCAGTGCCCACTGCGATCTGGAATTCGCCGTTGAGGTCCGGCAGTGCCCACTGCGATCTGGAAGTCGCGGTTGGGATCTGGACTGCGAGGAGGAGGAGGAGGCGGACTGCGATCTGGAAGTCGCGGTTGGGATCTGGACTGCGAGGAGGAGGAAGCGGAGGAGATGGAGGAGGAGGATGCGGAGGCGGAGGAGGAGAACAGCTCTAATAAAATCTAACAACCCTCACCTGGCAGGTGGGGAATAAAATGAATACAAAAAAACACACACAATCAAAAACAGAATCACCAAAAAAACAACTCGACAGGAAGAGTCACCAGAAAAAAACAAAAAAACAAGAAAAAAAACAAAAACAAAACAAACTGCAATTTCCTCAGTTTTTTTGTTTTTCCCTTGTTTTTCTTGTTGGCGTGTTGGTTTCTTTTTGTTTTTTCTTATGTTTTCATTGATGGTGGTTTTCTGGTTAGTTTTTTTGGTTTGCTCTGGTTTTGTTATTTTTTTTAATATATGTTTCTATGAAACCCTATATTCTCTGTGCTGCTGGGGTCATAATGTTAAGCATTCCTTGGTAATGATGAACATGACAAGGATGATGAAGTTTTCTCAGCTCATCCCACGTGTCTTTGGGAAATCCCATCTACTAGTAGATCATGGAGGTATGTGTTTTTTTTCTGCACCCTTGGTCCTTGAAAGTCATGGTTGGTAGCTGGATTGTAAACCATTCTGTAATTCCATCCCAGTTATCTTTGGGCTTAGGACCCCGTTGCTATTCATGCAAACTTCCAGGATCATTCCAGGGGGGAAATCTAAGCGATGGCTAATCTTTGGCCAACGATTCTGGCATCAAAATCGCCAAAGAAACTAGCCAGTAGCTTGCCATTCACCAAATTTCATCCAGTTACCCTCTGGTAAACTAACATAACTATGGAAAATCACCATTTTTAATGGGAAAACTCATTATAAATGGCCATTTTCAATAGCTATTTTGACATAACCAGAGGCTAATCCACTTCCAGTGAATCCAGTTGTCAACTATGCCAACTTCTCCTGTTGAGTAGCCACGAGGGCATGAACTGCAAGCCAGCGGAAGGTGAAGATGGGATAAGCCACAGGGGTCCTGTCGGTCCAAAAAAATCACCCTTTGGTGCAGGAAATCCGAAACTCCCACCATCATTCGAGTGGTGAAAGGGATGGAGGAAAAAATAACACCATGTATACTGGTTGGTGGTTGAGCCACCCCTCTGAAAAATGATGGAGTGAAAGTCAGTTGGGAAAACATGAACTTCCCAATATATAGAAAGTAATAAAATTCATGTTCCAAACCACCAAACAGTATATATGTGCCCCTGAAAATTTTGTGTCTCGAAACATGTTTTGTTTATCCCCGAGCCTGGGAGTTGTAACTGGGCATAAAGATATGAATAATAACATAGCTGTGTTTATCTGCCAGTGAAATGGGATCTAAACCCAGCCAGAACCGGCAGCAGCTCATCATTCCCACCATATGAATGGCCCATGCAACGTCTTCTTGTTGACTAGGCAAAAAAAACTGGAAAGGCACTGTAAAGATAGTTGGAATGCCCATCAAGGATGAGCCAGCAGCGACCAGTTTCCGGATTCCAAAGCTCGTGGATTTTGGAGCGACTTGGAGCACAAATGAACCATCCAACTGTTTCGGAGTGTCAAATATCAGAAAACTGATAGAAGTTTACACAAGTTACATAAGTTCAAAAACAGCACCATATGTTTAAGCCAGAATGTTAAGACTTGTATATCGCCAGGTAGCACCACATGTGCCATCAAGCCATATGGGATAACCCAAAAATTCCCACCGGACCATCGACCTTGGGACCCTTCCCCCCAAGAGGGGAATAGCCTTCCAATCGAAGTGGTAGTTTAGTATTGGATTTCTTCATTTTTAATGTTTATTCAGGGCTATGATTTCTATTCTCGAAAATCATCGAACTAAATTAAGGATATCATCGAGCTAGCCATGTTTGATTCCCTGTAACCCCTATGAAAATGGATTAACCCAATTCTCAACCATTACTAATTATTAACCAGTACAGTATTAATCAATATGTATCAATATTAACAATGATCGATCATTCTCACCCATGATTAATGATCATTAACCATTGTTAATCATGTTTAGTCATCATTGAACACTATGAACAATAATTGATCTATAGTGAACAATTATTTTCACCATCCTTACCCATGGTGATTGAAAATGATTCCTGACTATATTAACAATCCTTATTCATCAACAGGTATCAACAAGCATTATATAATTAATCATCATGAACCATGATTAATCATCATTGACCATCACTAATCATCATTAACCATAAAAGCGGATGCCCATCCCCAAATCACTCCTGGCAACCGCTGGGGTTTGTTGCTCAGCCTTCCTGGCCACACGGCCCTGCAATGCTGCTGCGGTGCTGAGGAGTCCGATCGTCTTCAATAAAGGGTTACAAATTCATCCAACTACACATATACTTCAACAAAAACAACTACAGTATCAAAACTGAATAAATAAATACATGCACATTGAATACATTGAATTACATGTACATACTGGATGCGATTGTCTAAATGGATATCATGTAAATACATAACTCTAAGCAGTGACTAGTCATAATGGTTGCTACGAAATGGTCAGCCGACATCACAAGGCTATCGTAACAAGCCTTGTAATCTTTGTAATCTGGGAAGAAGGAAGTTCAGCATTCAGTTTCTCCGAATCATCCCCAAATCCGATTGAAACTTCACAATTTCAGTGAACAATCAGATTACAACTATAAACTATAAACTGATAGATTCAAGTTTATAAACTTTCAGTGAACTGTCTAAGTGACATCCTAACAAACTATAAACTTTCTGCATGCAATCCTTGAGAAAAGCGAATTGATTGAAAAGAACATCATTTGGGCCGATCCTCAAAATCAGGCATCCCAAAATCACAGTCTTAATTTTAATCATCTTCCCATGAAATGGCCATGAAATGAAGTGTCCATTCATATATCCCGTGTTTGGACAAACCCATTGAATACAACTACGAAGGCACCTCGTAATTCCAATAGCTTATATCATAGTGTATATCCGATAGTGAATATCCATATCCATAGTTATATAATATCATTTCCATAGTGTATATCCAAGATATCATGCTCCTTTCCTCCAAACTTTCATCAAAATATCTATCCCATTGGAAGATAAGCTTTTAACCAGCTGCTAAATAGATGCCTTTTGATACGTGTTGCTTTGTAGCATTTGTTTCTATTATCATTATTATTTATTATTACTGTTGGCACTGTTGTTAATATAGTATCTAGTATGTTTATCATCATTGTATTCATTGAAAACATTCACAGCAGTACTTTTAGTAATGTACCCTGCTATTTTGCTATTCTCATGGTTATTATCGTCATCATGTTCCTTGTCATTATCATTACTATCATCCTCACAAATCATCTTGTCACACACCATTCAAACCAATGGTTTCAACATGCTTTTACCTTCTGGTACTCAACCATGGCAATTCAAAATCCCATATACATAAGGGATTCAATGTGAGAAAATCATTGGAACTCCACGGCGGAATCTGTCCATCTCAACCATTGATTGACCTGTCGGAGCACAGTGCTCACCGCGGCCACGGCATAGCCCACACTGGCGCCAGCAAAGAGAGGGGACCACCTTAGTGTGTAAACGTCACACAAGGGGTGGCTACCTGGATGTTCGTAAATGGTTAACAAAACCATATTCAAACCATAAATATCATAAAACTGGGGCATAATGGGTATATACCTGGGTTCTACATGGTTTTAGCAGGGTTATGAATATGTTTCCTGACTGACGCCCGCACCCCTTTTTCAAACAAACTGGGGGAAGCCTTGTTGATTTTCATCGGACAGATCAGCAGTAACTTTTGAAAAAAACTGGGATAAATACTGGGATGGACAATGAACACGGAATCATTGTCCAAAATGATGGAAACTGACATGATTCATCATGGAATAAATATGAATAAATAATGGAAGATAAAATAATGAAATAACAGGATAAGTAATGAAAAGTAAGACGATGTTTCTTTCCAGTGACTAAAACCTTTCTTTCCGAGTTCGTGGCCAAAACAACGCGGAGACATGCGAAAACAAGGAGACAAATGCGGATTCCAACTGGGTTCCGCACGAGCTAGCCTGGGGCGGAGTCATGGTTTGGACTGCCTAGAGTTTCGTGTACTTGCACGGATATGAAACTGTCACCTGGAGGCATAGAAATAAAACAAAATGTCACTATGTACGCGAGGGGTACCTTTAGATCCCAAAATACAGTGCATCAGTGCATGGAAGTAAATTTGGATTTTGAAAATTCTACTGGCAAACTGGACTGATCCATGTGAATTTCTAATTCTTATGAATCGCTAGTAACTTACATACAACCTGGTCGCACCATTTCAAATCTACCCATCATGATCATATACCCAGTGTTGCAGATTCGACTCATTTCCGATAATCAAATCCCCTTTTATGCACCATCCTTAAACCCTGTCTGAATGGTTAGTTCATTTCCGAAGCTGTAGAGTTTCAGCGCAAAAATCCCAAGTGTCTGTTTTGCAAAGGTCTCACCCGGAAATCCACCATACCCTCCAGTAATCAAACATGATTGGCTGGAAAATCCCCCATTTAGTTTGGTGATTTTCCCCGCAATAAGCCCCAGTTTAGTTAGGGGATTTCCCAACAATGTTTTTTAAAATCAACCACAAACCCAATAAAAGACTTTGGCCTATCAAAAGCTATCATAATTCATATTATTCACAAACCAAAAAGAAACCCCATTTGCTGTTGGTGATTACTACCATGATGGTTGTTAATAGTGGTTGATACCATTTCACAATCCCATTAAATCCCATTAAAAACGCAATCATTCTGGTGAACCGGCGGCCCTACCTCCTCAGGCATCTCAGCGGCACCAGGCACCGACACGGCCGCCTAAACGGAAGAAAAAGGATCAGGTAATTTGGGGAGCGCTTAAACCCATCATATGCGTCTACATACATACATGTATATATATATATACATATATATATACAGTAATTATATGTATACACATGGGTGGCGTGAGTGAGTGAGTGAGTGAGAGAGTGAGTGAGTGAGTGAGTGAGTGAGTGAGTGAGTGAGTGAGTGAGTGAGTGAGTGAGTGAGTGAGTGCGTGAGTGCGTGAGTGCGTGCGTGCGTGCGTGCGTGCGTGCATGCGTGAGTGAGTGAGTGAGCGAGTGAGTGAGTCAGTGAGTGGTGAGTGAGTGAGTGTGCAGTGAGTCAGTGAGTCAGTGAGTCAGTGAGTCAGTGAGTCAGTGAGTCAGTGAGTCAGTCAGTGAGTCAGTGAGTCAGTGAGTCAGTGAGTCAGTGAGTCAGTGAGTCAGTGAGTCAGTGAGTCAGTGAGTCAGTGAGTCAGTGAGTGAGCCAGTGAGCCAGTGAGCCAGTGAGTGAATACATAAATATGATCCATATATGACAAGTGCAATCTGCATGTATGTCTATATGTACATTGAAGTAAAATACATTTTGACTATCGAAGGAAGTTTGGAAATCAAAACTCCGACAATATGGACAAACGAAGCAGTAGAGATGGGAATAGGCAGAAAAGAGAAAGAGACAGAAGAGAAGAAGTCAGAAGAGAAAGGCAGAAGAAAGAAAATCAAGGTGCGCGAAAAGGTAGAAAAGTGGCAAACAGTGTGTTTTCCCAATCTTTTGTGGCTCCGGAGGATCGAAAAGCAGGCTCGCTGAAGCGGCGGGTGCGGAGCCATCTGGTCAGCTGACAAATCAAAAATTGCACGCTGTTGTTGGGGTTCTGGAGGAACCCCCGGATCTCTGGCATGGCAGCCAAGTTCTTCGCCAACTCCGTTGTCCACTGGACGCGGTGCATCAACAGGGCATGCACCTGACACAGAAAGGAAACGAGAAAGACGCAACGAATGACGCGGCATGGCTATACCCTGATATACAAAGTTATCGTGCAAATTTTAACTACGTTCGCAGCATACACCGCTGCTCGCTGCCAGGCATCCACCGCGGCGTCATTGCTGAGGTGCCCGAGCAGCGTCACAAGATGCTCTTGAAGAACTTCAGGACCATGGCGACCTTGCGTGACATCCAACGCCTGCGCAGCCTCATCCAAAGAGGCGTGGTGAGCTGGGGCAAGCCCGTCTTCGTTGGGTCGTTCTCCACGAACAGAATGACCTTCCCAGCTGGGCGAGCCGGAAGACGATGGGCCATTTGTTCCGGATCCACAAGATCTGGATCCCGGCATGCCCCTGCACGTTTGATGAACCATTCTCCTTCGGCCCCTGGATAGGGGCGGAGAATGGCGATGAGGTACGCGTCGCCCACGGCGACCGCTTTCACGGTCGCTTGGCTGCCAATGCCCTTGCCTTTTGTCCCGGTGCTCCATGTCTGGCCGGTAGCCCAAGGTTGGTAACCTTTTTTGCTGCCCTTTGGTGCCATGATGGAAAGAGTACCCGAACGGATCCCGCAACTCAATGTGTGCGCGTGATGCTGCGGCAAGAACGCAAAGGACGCCAAGCGACCGAAAGAAGTTGCAATGCAACACTGGTAACAACATGGTCGAATGTCATGCGAGTGGCAACATGACAAAGACTAATAGAGCCACGATGTGACGGAATGCAAAAGCTGAGGGATGGACTGCGAAATAGGCGTGGAAGCCTGAGAGCAAAGCCCGAATCGCCGAGCGTTGATCCTGGCCAGATAAAAGCAGACTGAAGCGGACTGGACATCAAAACCGCGCAAACCGCAACTCAACTGGTTCTCACAAGCTGCTACAAAGCAACGGCGTTGGAGCCTGAGTGCAAAGCCGTGATCGCGAAGCGCTGATCCTGGCCAAATGAAGCCAGACGCGAATCGGCAACGATGAAGCAATCTCGAAAGAAGGAACTGCGCAATTGCGTCATTGCGCGTGAAAAGTTGATGACATGTGTGACTGTCAACAGGTTCAATGTGGAACTGAAGCACCTGTTTTTCGACCTTGTCGTATGAAGTTTCCAAGGGATAACCCCTTGCGCAGGAGCACAATGCTGAAGGGTTTCTGAGTGACAGATGAAGCTGTTCTCTGGACCGTCAAAACCTGAGAGACGGGTGCCGATTTTTTTTTGCAGTGCGGAACCCAGCGCTGCGCTGCACCTGGTTGCCACATCATTCCAAGTGTGGTCAACACCGTCAAGGTGACGGTCAGCATCACGATCATGTGGACCCGGTGACGAGACACCGGACCACTGATCCACTTCAGCTTCGGCAGAGGCATGAGTTGCCTTTCATATACTTTTGGAACGGTTGCATTGTCGCGAATTGGGGAGACGTCACTCCCATTCATCACATCATCATCCAGGGCATCAGGAGAGGCGAAACTCCCCTGGGAGGCGAGACTCCCATTCATGGCGGTGGCCCCAGTGACGAAACACTGAAGGGCAAGGAGGGTTAGCAGCATCGCTCAACCTGGACGGCACCAAGGAGCTCCGCTACCAACTCGAAAACAAGTTAGGAAGCAACGTCCTAGCAATCCCAACTCTTTTCCACTCCAACCACACAGGCTACAGGGTGAAACAACTCTCGAGATTAAGTCTTGAGCAGCTCGAAGCTACGGTATGTACAGTAGGTCTATGACATGTTGAGTCGAAGAATATCTATTGCGGTTTACATTGTACAATATATATATATATATCTATATATATATATGTGATCCATCCTCAATATGGGATGGCTCATCTCAGGCAGCTGGAACCCATCAACAAATACAGCCTATGCTGATGAGTCGTGGTTTTCTATGTTTTGTGTACGAAAGGACGGTGAAAAATCACCTCTTCCGAAGTTTTTTTGGGAGCACTTTGTTTGCAAACTAAGGTTGCAATCAGAGTGGGAAATGTGAAAATCCCCACTTTCGCATCATCCCCACTTTCGACTGGAGCGTTTCTCCAATCAGGCCGGTGATCAAGAGCCTGATCCCAGTCAACTGGTTGGCACCAATATGGGTCCCCACATCAGATTAGTCCATAATCCCCAGTAAATCACCAACAACCATGAGGACAATGGGTGATTATGGGATGATTTAGTGGATGAGTTCATTAATGATTTAATGAATGGATTATACATGGCTTACTGATAATGGGGATGGTGATAATGGTTGATAAGTCTAGTATCATCCGATACAAGCATCAAGCACCAGGGATGTTTAGCTGGCAGCCTGGTACTTGGTGCTGGTGTGCACACGGGGCACAAACGCCACAACCTCGACACGGCAACGATTATTATGGAATGCCTGATACCTGATGCATTTGAGAGATGCTGTATAATCTGATCCTAAGGCTGGATTTGTTGAAGAAACCCTTTTGAACCCCGGTATATATGAGGAAAACCAACTACGTTCCACTATGATTTCTCAGGGGTGGCGTGTCTATGCCAACAGATGTGCACCCAGGTATGAGATATGGGTATCAAACCACCATAGTTGGCATTTACCGCATTGGCTGTTCAATCTAGATTAACTACAGTAATTCATTCACCAACTTTAGATAAATACTGTAGTTACTCCAATGCAAGTCTCGTCGTTCCAGATGTCGCGACTTGAGGTCGTAACATATTTTTCCCAGACTAATGGCTACTGTAATGTGATGTAATGCGTATGTACATTATATACATACACTGTAGGCCCATTGTATTCCCATTACATGCCAAGTATATGCCAATCCTGCCGGCCCTTCATTTTCCATTCATTCCATTGACCAAGGCAGCAGGGATCTAACCATCCCCAGTGCTCTGGATATGGCAAGTCATCTGGCGTTCAGCCACTGCATAGCTACTGTGTTGGTGAAGTTCCGACGAATATTCTGGCTTTTTTGGAGACCAGAAAGATTAACAAATATATAGAGATATATATTACTATTAATTATTACTATTCTTAATTATTATTAACCCAGCTTTGCAACCCAACAGCATACCTGAATCTTCCACCTACGTCTTTTTTCAGACCCTGTGCCAAAGTCCTGTTTTTTCAGTACCCAGAAAACTTTTCAGGACCTACTCTCAAATTCGGGACCTGGCCATTTTGGGGTATCAATGGTAATGGCAATCATTGGGTGCAAACATGTGAAACCAACATTTGGTGGATATTCAAGCCATTGGCATTGATCCACGCAAATAAAAGCACTCCCAGCCCAAACTCATGGCAAGGCAGGATCAGAATATAGTATATTCCAGAAAGTATGTCAGAATAGATGCCAGATAGGATGCCAGAAAGAATGTCAAATAGAATCTCAGAAAAGAATGTAAGATAGTATGTCAGAACATATATGCCACATATACGTCCAGATGATATGTCAGAAACTATGTCAGAATAGTGTGTCAGGTTGGGGATCACTCTTAGTAAGGCAATTTTGAAAATATATTTCAGGTTCGGATTTTTCAAACTGTTGTCCTTCAGGCGCCGAAGCTCCCGTTGAAGGTCAGCATCGCCCCATGTCAACTGGTCCAGTCCCACTTCCATTTCAACAAGTCCAACTTCATCGATTAGGGTGTTGGTTGAATGGACTTGGGACTCTAGCTGGCACGGCATCCCTTGTAACCCTGTAGACACTGTAGTGGGCAAAAAGATTGTAACACACAGAATCAGCATCATTTTGATCAGGCATTCTTTTTGCTAATCCTTTCTCCCTATTTCGAAAAATACCCCCAAATAACAAAAACTAGGTGCGATTTCCAATTTTGGGAAATGTCAAATTGGTTAATTTGATTTTTAATTGATCCCCTTGAGGAAACAATTTAAAAAATGAAGGTACCATGTGAGGGTTTCACCCCCAAAGAATAAAAAACTAGTCAACACCGGGGTGTCTTTTATTGGGGTCCGTCCTTTAAAATCGTCAATTTTAGTTTTTTTAATTCAGGTGTTGGTGTTTTATTTGATACTAGGCGAAAGCTTCGAAATCCTATTCTTGGCAGTATTCTATTTGAAGATAATTTTCATGGATTTTGAAATTAGAAGCGAAAAACGGTTTAATCCCTTCCCCCTGTTGCTAAACAGTCGCCCCTTCACCCACCCACCCAAATAACAAACACCTGGAGGAGTTTTTAGTATTGGGGGGGTCTTTAATATTAGGGTACGAAGCTTCCCCCTAATACTGATAAAAAACAGACATATATATATATACACATATTCTATTTCAAAATCGATCAGATTTCTTTCTTTTTAAATCCAACTAAAATATGGCAAACAAGTGGATTCCGAAGCTTAATATCAAATAAAAACCCCCAACATAAAAAAACTATGTATGTTTTTCTATTTCGAAATCGATTAGATTTCCTTTTAAAAATTAAATAAAATATGGCCAAAAAATTGGATGTCGAAGCTTTTCCCTTATATTAAACCCTAATATCATTTTGTTTTTTTTCCTGTTTCAAAATCGATTAGATTTCCTTTTGAAATCTAATGAGAAAAAACAAAAAATTGATTTTGAAGCTTTCCCCTAATATCAAATTAAAATCCAATTATTAAAATATGTTCAAAAATTGGATTTCGATGCTTCCCCTAATCTTGCATGAAAAATTCCAATATAAAAAACTAAATTTGTTCTATTTCAGAATTGATTAGATTTCCTTGTAAATTCAAATTAAGATATTGCCAGAAATTGGATTTCGAAGCTTTCCCCTCATATTAAACCCTCATATCAAAGACTATTTTTTCTATATCAAAATTCATTAGATTTCCTTTTGAAATCTAATTAGAATATGGTCAAAAATTGGATTTTGAAGTTTTCCCCTCATATTACATTAAAAAAACCTAATATAAATTGTTTTTTCTTTTTTGAAATCGATTCGATGTCCTTTTAAATTGTAGTAACAAAAATAAAAACAAAAACCGGATTTCGAAATGTTTCCTCTAATATTAAATTACCAGCCCCAATATATTTTAAAAAAAACTGTTTCAAAATCGATTAGTTTTCTGTCTAACATATAATTAAGATATTGCTAAAAATTGGATTTCGAAGTTTTCCCCTAAGATTAAATTTAAAAAACACTAATAAATAAAAAAAACTATGTTTTTTCGATTTCAAGAATCGATTAGATTTCCTTTTGACATCCAGCAAAAATATTGCCAGGAAATGCCAAAAAGTGGATTTCGAAGTTTTCCCCCAATATTATATAAACGTTGTAATATAAAATACTTATTTTTTCGACCTTAAAAGACCCTAGTTTAAAAAATCACCAGGGCTGACTAGTTTTTATTTTTTGGTGGTGAAATCCTGAAATGGGACCTTCATGTTTAATTTGTTTTTGAAAAGGTATCAATTAAAAGTCAAACTGGCCAGCCTGAAATTTCCCAAAATTTAACGCGGACCCTAGTAAAAGGAATCAATGTAATATTTTAGTATTTAGGGTACGTTTAGTAAAAGGAGGTGGGGATTAGTAAGGTTTTCAATTTAATATAAGGGGAAGCTTCGAAATCCAATTTGGCAAGATTTGAGTTAGATTTTGAATAGGAATTCAATCGGTTTTGAAATATAAAGTTCATTTTTTAAAACGAATGATTTCAATTTAATGTCAGGGGGAAGCTTCGGAATCCAATTTTGGCAATATTTTAGTTAGATGTTATTTAAAAAATGTTTTCCAATTTAGTTTTTTTAACCAAGGGGGAAGTTTCGCACCCTCATACTAAATACCCACTAAATACAAAAAACTATTCCGTGTGTTCATTATTGGGTGGGGAGGGGCAGACGGTTTATTATGACGCAGGGATTGGTCAGGCATCACTTGCTGGAATTATTGGATTCTTTTGGGATGATTGGTATGATGTTTAGTCAGGCATGGTTCCCTTCAGTCATGCACGATTTTTGCAAAAATCCTATCTAGGCACGACCCCAAAATCCCAGCCCGGCAAATTCCGGCCCGGGCCCTGCAAATTCCGGCCCGCGCCCTGCAAATTCCGGCCCTGCGTTTTTCCAAAATCAGGCAAAACCAGTAAATCAGGTATTAAGTCAGGTGTAGTTACCTTTTAAGTCATTAAGGCTAGTCAGGCATGGTTCCAGTGGGTACCTTTTAATTGTGAAGGCTAGTCAGGCATGGTTCCCTGAATTCAGGGACATCGGCATGGGTACCTTTTAATTATGAAGGCTAGTCAGGCATGGGTTCTGTTAAGTCAGGCGTGGGTGGGTACCTCTTAATTATGAAGGCTAGTCAGGCATGGTTCCCTTAAGTCGGGTGTGGTTACGCTTTAAGTCATGAAGGCTAGTCAGGCATGGGTACCTTTTAAGTGATGAAATCTGAATCAGGCGGAGCTCCTATTCTAAATGTGTTAAATCCAATTGTTCAGTGTGGAAAATCGATTTTTTGGTTGGTCTACGGGCAAACCCTGTGTCTTCCAATACCATAGCGTGCTGATGTCGCTTGCCTGCATAATAGTTAAGGCCAAAGCTTAGGTCATCAGTGTGATCCTGAAATGGCGCCACGACCAAGAAGATGACATGTGTAAAATGGGCCCTGGATTAACAAAGGCTGACTAATGAATTTGGAGGATGCCACTAAAGTATGACATGTAATCACTTTTGAGGAGCACTCTATGGCACGCAGCGCGTGCAGCCTGCTTTACGGTTTAGCGTTTGAAAGTTTTAGGCTTTGCCTCTATGGCACGCAGCGTTTGAAAGTTTAACCGTTTACCTCTATGGCAGGCTGTGCGCGCAGTACGCGTTACGGTTTAAAGTTTGAAAGTTTTAGGGTTTATGTGTGTGGCACGCAGTGCGCGCAGCGCGCATTAGGGTTTAGGGTTTGGAAGTTTTATAGTTTATTTTATTGCATGCAGCGTGCACAGCGTGGGTTGAACTTTAGGGTTTCCAAGTTTTAGGGTTAACCTCCATGACACGATGGTTTAGGGTTTGGAGATTTTAAGGGGTACTTCTATGGCACACAGCGCGCGCAGCGCGCGTTAGGGTTTAGGGTTTGGAAATTTTAGGGTTTACCTCTATGACACGAGAGTTTCAGGTTTGAAGATTTTAGGGTTTATTTCTATTGCACAAAGCGCGCGCAGCGCGCATTAGTGTTTAGGGTTTGAAGGTTTTAGGGTTTATCTCTGGCACGCAGCGCGCACAGCACGCATTAGGGCTTAGGGTTTGGAAGTTTTAGGGTTTATTTTATTGCATGCAGCGCGCACACCGCGGGTTAAACTTTAGGGTTTGGAAGTTGCATAACACGATGGTTTAGGGGTTGGAAATTTTAGGGTTTACTTCTCTGGGACACAGCGCGCGCACCGCGCATTAGGGTTTAGGGTTTGGAAGTTTTAGGGTTTACTTTATTGCATGCAGCGCGCGCATCGCGCATAGAGTTTAGGGTTTGGAAGTTTTAGGGCTTCAAGGGTTCCAAGGTTCCAGTGTACCAGGGTCCCACGGTTTCAGGGTTCCAAGGTTTCCAGGGTTCCAAGGGTTCCAAGGGTTCCAGGGTTTCAGGGTTCCAGGATCCCAGAGGGTTCCAGAATCCTTGAGGGTTCCTGGGTGCCTTCCACGGTCGCAGGGTTCCAAGGTTCCAGGGTTTCAGGGTTCCAGGGTTCCGGGGTTCCAGGGTTCCGGGGTTCCAAGGTTTCAGGGTTCCAGGGTTCCAGGGTACCAGGGTCCCACGGTTTCAGGGTTCCAAGGTTTCCAGGGTTTCCAGGGTTCCAAGGGTTCCAAGGGTTCCAAGGGTTCCAATGGTTCCAGGGTTTCAGGGTTCCAGGATCCCAGCAGGGTGCCAGGTGTGCAGGGTTGCGGGGTTCCAAGGTTCCAGGGTTCCAAGGTTGCAGGGTTCCAGAATCCTTGAGGGTTCCAGGGTGCCAAGGTTCCAAGGTTTCAGGGTTCCACGGTCGCAGGGTTTGAAGGTTCCAGGGTTTCAGTTCCGGGGTTCCAAGGTTTCAGGGTTCCAGGGTTCCAGGGTTCCAGGGTTTCAGGGTTCCGGGGTTCCAAGGTTTCAGGGTTCCAGGGTTCCAGGGTTCCAGGGTTCCAGGGTTCCAGGGTTCATTCCGGATTTTGAAGGCTGCAAGTCCCCGCGAGCCAGCCCCAGCCCTAGAGATTGAAACCCAACAGGCCCTGCTGTTGGGAATTACTATTATTACTATTATTATCATATTATTATTTCTACTATTATCATTACTATTTCCTGGGTTCACTGTTTTTTCCCCTTAAACCCGGTGAGTGTCGGATTCAGTTCCCATCCCCATTTCTCCGCTTGAGACAGCGCACGCTGCTGCAAAGAGCCAAGAAGGACACGACCTGAGAAGTGGCCGTGTTTCTTTTGAAAATCCCTAAAATTAGAGGTGTCTTAAAATTTTAATGATCCCCAAATCACCATAAGTTTCAATACATTTCAATACTAAGTCATGGTCATCCATGACTTGGATAATTTTGGGGTACCCCAATTTTCGGACACCTCCATGTGGATGATCAAAAAAATAGGAAGCTCTAAGGAACCAAATTCGGTTGCGTTGAAACTTGGTTGGAATGAAATCCCATGTTTTTTTAGTAGTGGATATCCCGCGGTATCCCCATTTAAGACAGGGATTTGTAGCAAGCCTGGTGTCTTGGAGAAAACCAAAATTGATTTTTTTGCCACATTCAATGTGGGTTGCTTTGAGAATAGCCATGATCCTATAAGTGTGTCATCCAGTCATCCAATATAGGAATTAGCTCGGAATCAGGCGTGGGAAAAAGCCCTCCATTCCTGGCAGCAAAAGTTGACCCCTCCGTTTCTGATGTCGGAAAAAATCCTTGTCCCTCAGGGCCAGTTCCTGAAACACGGCAATTTCCTGATGGACAAAAAATGAATCAAAAATGGACTAAAGCGTGATCATCTACAAAATTGATCAAAAAATTGCTGGATATATCTGGATATCATGTAATATTGCAATGTGGATATATATTTACTATGGACATCCCGTCATCCCAATCCATCCTGGAAAAAATCACTAAAAAAGAACAAGCTCCCTGGAATTCGCCCCACAGCTGAGAACCAAACCCTCAAAGCCATGATGCAAAAGTTGCAGGAATCGCAGCTGTCTCGGTCGTCGAGGCGCTTTTATTAGGCGAACTTTAAAAGGCTGCGGAAAACATGTCACCTGAATGAATGGACCAGTCAGCTGGATATAGATCTCATCCTGAGACTCAAAGATCATTCTTGAAAAATAGTGCAACTTGCTAATCTTTAAACTTGTTGGACAATTTATATTGCGTCATGTAATGTTATGTGATGTCCTGCGTGTGTGTATATACTATATCTATCTTGATACATGTGTCTTCTCATCAGAACCCGAATATATATGAACATATACATATATAATTGGATGTATCAGCAACACACACTCCTTCACAAAGATGAGTTTGTTTGCCCGTATGTTCGGGATGATTTGCTTCAAGAATCATGGCCCAAAACTGGGGGCACCCCCCTACAACATTCTACAAGCAACAGGCCACTTGGTAATGAATGGTGAATTACATGTTATGCCGGACCGGGCCCTTATTATGTTTTTCCCAAACAGACATTGTTGGCACCAATCAACCCACAAAATTCATCAGTGCTCGACCTCATCCATTCACTTTTCGGGATTGATGCATTCCACGGTGACCATGGTGTGGGGAGGAGTTCCCCATACTAAATACCAATGCAGACTACCCAGAATCATGACCAAAGGTTGAACTGAAAGTGAGAAAGAGAACTGATTAAAACAAATATCCCTCGGAAAAAAAATAAATAAAAACAAGGAAACCCATTCTGTGCAAGAAAATTCCTCAGAAATGCAAATGATTAACCTCTTGAAGAAGGTTGGCTGAACTGTCTTCCGCGGTTACTCTACCTGAAACTACCATGGTTCAGTGAAATATGACCCCGAAAAAACAAAAAAAACTAAATCATAGGCACTATCCGTCTAATTTAGCTCTAATTTTCAGATCACTGATAATTTCAAAAACAATCATCTAATATAATCCATGGAAAATAGCCATGTGTTTGCCCCACCCATCCGCCTTTCGCGCCTATTTTTTTTGCGAAAAAAAACACACCGACTTCAGACGTCCCTACCGTCGACTCAGCGCTGGATGAACTGCATGGAGCTAATCGCACCGAGGAAAAAGACCGTGGGGACCTCGGCGGAGCTTCGGATGATGGGATTATGACTATCATAGTTGCTGATGAATGTTAAAGATATAATTTTGTGTATCAGGATATGACTATCATAGTAGTGAATATTATAATATATATATTATATATATGGGAAAAGTATGGCTATTTGTGGAAATGTTTGGCGCCACAAAATAGTTTGTTTGATATTAAAAGTTACCAACTGTTCTTTGCCGTTTAGATCTTCAGTTGTGAACCATGCACACATGTGCCACATGTTGCCAAGTCAAATACATTACATAAGCTGAGTATATGCTGTCATAACTAGTCATAACAGAAGGTGTGTGTTTTTCGGCACAAGGCCAGGGGGTGAAATAGTTCGATGGAATCCTCTGGTGGGCAGAAACATGCACTTCTGATGAAGATACCTTCTGGCAAATTAAGTATAGAAAAAACAACATGATATATTTTAATATAGGTAAATCATCTTTGAATGATCAATTTTTCATAACTATGTTATATAGTTGACCAAAGGGTACATGTCCATGTCTGAAAACACTTCGGATTCACCGACCGATTTCTTGGGAGGTGGAACCACCAGAGCGTGAACCGCCAACCAGCGAAAGGTGAAGATGGGGTAGGCCACAGGGGTCCTACAGGTTGGTCAAGGGGCCAAGAATTATGCTTCTTCAATATGAGAATGGGCAAAATCATTGGACGATTGGATATAGAATTTGCCTGTTTCAATATCTTTCAATCATTCACACGCGTAAAATGATATCAGAAACAAGCACTTGCGGAGTTGGGACCGGGATGAGTTTTGAACTATGGATATAACATGATATAACCAGTCTGACCCCCAGACGTCAGCCATGCGAAACTGGCGCCAGAGTTCAATCATAGTGGGAGGTCCAATTAGACAAATGGATACAAATGGGACATGGAAACTAAACAACAACGACGGGAAAGTAGGCTTGCCAATCATGTAGAATATATAGACAACAATGAATATATAGAATATATAGAATCCATATATGTCAACTAAAAAATCGTTCTTTATATCCATAGGTCCAAAGCTACTCACATCTGCCCCAATTCACCCAGTTTCCTCAACCTGCTATCCCCAAATAATTCCTGGTGGCGCAACCACCATTTGTTGCTTCAATCCCCATATTTGTTGGTGAATCATCCACTAGTCTTTTTAGAGGTTAAATGGGGTTAAATATGGTTAAATATGGTTAAATCATCGTCTGTTTGACTGCATTAGAATCAGACACCATCCAATTTTAAGGAATTTTTAAGGCATTTTTAAGGCATTTTAAGGGATACATCACTTGATAAGATTTCGACCCCCAGTTTTGCTTCGCTCAAATCCCAAAATCTTGCAGATTACATCTGCCGCCAATCACCAGCACCATTCCATGACTATCCCTCAGTCGAGTTTTCAATGAAAACGTCCTTTTTTGATCCCCAGATTTTACACGTCCTGGCCACTGCTGGGGTCGAGTTCTCCGCCTTCATCGCCATTCGGCCCTGCGCCATGAAAAGTTGGGGGATTTCTCATGGGAAAAATGGGAAGATCATGGGAAAATATCTGGTGAAAATCAAGAACGTATGGGATTTTTAATGGTTCCTTTTGTCCTAAGGGAACATCAACCATTAGAGAATCCCATTAAAAGTCTTGTTTGCCACCAATCATCAAGAATTTATTGGGAAAATCAACCACCGATTTTCGAACAAAACATTGGATTTTAGGGGTGCTCTATTTTCAGACCCCAGATCAAACTTGAAATGATTGGATTTTTGTAAGCTGATTGTCTTTGAAAATATGCCATTGTTTACAGGTGCGGTGTTCGATTTTGAGGATCCAAGACTTGGATGGTCCGTGGGTTCCTGTTGTTCCCTTGAGCCAACTCAAAGTCCGGATTGAACCATCAGTTGAGCAGTGTTTAAAACCACTTCTCGTCCCTTTACATCAATTAATATCCATTATAATCATTATACGTTGGTTATATGTATATAATTATATGTGTATATATATATATTATGCCAAAAATATCTCACGACATTCCACTGTATTACTGTATTTCGCTCTATCCCTTTGTATTCCCATTTTGCTGGTTGAACCACCCATTTTCAGCCAGTTTCAAACATATATGATGTGAGTAAAGCAAACGAAACCCTCCATCTACAGTGAAAACATTACGCTCAACAGGGAAAAACCTCCTTCGAAGGGGAAAAAAACCTGCCGTCGACCAAACAAGCAAAATGGATCAAAATGGATGGTATTTTTATGGTTTACACATGTTCACACCATCAAAATTCAAACGAAAATAGATGCTTATGGATGACTATGGATGACTATGGATGATGGGTGGTTTATGGATGACTATGGATGCTTATGGATGCTTATGGTGGTTCATTGTTTTACTACCATTGCACTACTGGGTATCCCCATGGAGATGCCATGCGGATGCCTTGGATGCTGCGGCCACCGCTGCGGCGGCGTAGCCAAGGCTGGCTCCCGCCATCAGGGAGGTCCACCTCAGCCGCCGTGGGTCTAACAACCAGGCGGAATAATTATTAATGAATCCCTCAAAAATGTGGCTCTTATCTGGTTGGTGGATCCAACCCATCTGAAAAATGTGAAAGTCAGTTGGGGTTACTATTCCCAATGCCCAATAGAATGGACAAATAAAAAATGACCCAAACCACCTACCAGTTATGTTAGAGGAGAGGAAGTTGGCGAACATCCCCTAGAAATGAAGTGGTTAAAATATGGGAAAATCATCTACAAAGGATGGAGTTTCAATTGCCACTCCGCTAGGCATCCAAACGACGAGGATGCCTCGACAACCGGCTCCGGACTCAACGTCACACGGACCTCATGGCAGTTCAAACAACTGGGCTAAACAGAAAGGTATCAATGGAAATCAACTGGGCGAATGTATACGAAAATCAGAAAGTGATAGGAAGTGCCTTTGTATGATGCGTACAGAATTAGTTTGATACCAGTTGATACCATACATAGACAATGTAGTGAGAAAGGGAGTGAACCACAATGCGGAGTTTCGGAACAAATTGGGATGTTCAGCTGACAAAACTTGGGATGGCAAGATTTGAAGATCACCAAAGAACAGCTAGGAACATGAGGGATAAACCATAGGTCAGCCCAATGGAGTTCCGCAAAGATTTTCTCAAAAGCATTCAGTAAGATTTAGCCAGCAGACCTGCTTGGATGTGACCTAATATGCTAAATCCAAGATCAACCATCCCTCAAATCACCATTTTAATGGGTGGAATTCCAACCATCCCCAAATGGTTTATGGTAGGTGAATCCCACAAGAATCGGTAAGTGGCTAAGAACCATATTCAAACCCACTGATGAATGTGGATTATAAAAGTGGGTACTGTAACTTATATACTGTAAATAAGGTCCGTTAGCTGTCAATGTGTGTTCCTAACCACTTTCTAGCCACTAATTAGTGGTTCTTAAGTGACGCCCCAACCACTTCCTAAACCTTGGCTCCACGCCCCGCCAAACACCGGTAATCGCACCTCGCGAGTCATCTCTGGCCGACTGTTGGCTGGTGCCACAAAGGCCACAACCTTAGAAAACATCAACCATGATTGGTTGGTGGTATACCTACCCCTCTGAAAAATATTAGTCAGTTGAGTCAGTTGGGATTATTCTTCCCAATATATGGAAAAATAAAAAATGTTCCAAATCACCAACCAGATGAGATAATTCCATCAAAAGTGGTACTTACCACTCATCATCACGAAATTTTAGGAAATATCATGGGAAATTATGAGATATAATTGTAACACTAATTAGAACCATGATGAGAAACGATTAAATTTCAGGGTCCGACAGACCCATGTTGTAACTCAAACAGTTTCAGTGACTGTTAGTCGGTGTTGATACCAACCAATGTTTGGGAACCCAATTTTGATCCATACCCATATTGCAACCAATTACAACAGATGAACCCAAGAATGTACTAACCCCAATCATCCGGGCATATGCTTATACAATATTATACATATACAATATATCATAATTTCAATACATCAGAACAGTAAGTATTTTGTGTTAACTAATATTTTCATTGAGAAGTGATTCCTCTCCCACCAAAACGCAACAGGCTGCCAGGCTGGAAGCACAAACACCGCCAGGGACAGCACCTCAAGAGGCTGTCAGAAGTTTCAGCGCCTGGAAACCAATGGAAATGATGCTTAGTAGTGGATACCCTCTGGTACACAAACTTAGCTATTGAAACTGATGATGTATAGTGGATTTACGAGAGTACGTTTTCACCACGACTAAAACTAGATTTCCAAACCACGACAAAACCCGGCTGTGAACCACGACAAGGACCAAAGATTTAACCACGACCGGCAAACACACCATCGACTGTCTGCATTGCCAGCATTCACACTCTTAATGATCTGGTTTCATTGTGTTTTAATCAATGTAATGCTTCATTACATTGGAACACTCAGTCCGGGAGTTTACAGCATGTTTTTGCTGTTTTCACTCCATGCTGATGTCCTGAGAATGACAATGAACCTTTTCTTTTCGCATTGAACATTTATATCCATACATTGCTTCTGCTTCTGTTTGAGGCTTACGGATTGTTTATGGATTTGTACCGGATTTGGGGGAGGAGGCTTGCCGATTGTTTATGGATTTGGACCGGATTTGGAAGAGAAGGCTTATGGATTGCTTACGGATTTTTACTGAATGTGGAGGACGAAGCTTACGGAATGTTTCCGGATTTTTACCACATGTGGAGGACGAGGCTTACGGATTGTTTATGGATTTGTACCGGATTTGGGGGAGGAGGCTTGCCGATTGTTTATGGATTTGGACCGGATTTGGGGGAGAAGGCTTACGGATTTGGGGGAGTCTGGGTGCTGGAACCTTGAAGCAACAGCCAGCTTCAGCTTGTGCTCAAGTCCATTGGCATACATACAGCTCGGACATACAGCTTCCTATTTCCATTGCAAAATCGGATCCAAGTAGTGAGCTGACTTGGGCAACACTGGGCTGAGATGGCTACATTGATGATCTAATTGTACAAGTTTTTTTTTCATATCTCATTGATTGTGCTTTGATCTGGATCTGCTCTCAACTGCGGTCTCAAATTGCTGCAGAATAGTGCTGAGACCACAGAAGCCAAAATGCTGATTGTCTGATGATTTGAATGAATGATCAACCAATGTTTGATGTCATTAGTGGCATGTTTGGTTTGATTAGTGGCATGTTTGGTTTGATTAGTGGCATGTTTGGTTTGATTAGTGGCATGTTTGGTTTGAACAGGTCTTCAATTGAACCAGGTATTCGCTACTCGTGCTACCCTCTTGTCGTGGTTTTTAATATCTTGTCATGGTATAGATTCCACTGTCGTGGTATGACCAAACACCTGTGGATTTACCCATTAAAAATGGTGATTTTCCATAGCAAACTGTTAGTTTACCGGAGGGTAATGATGGTCAGTAGTGGTGATGAATGGAATCACCTTCTGGTCATCAAACGCGGCTGGCTGGAAAATCAGCGAAATGGCGGAAACGCCTGGTCACTTTTGACAACCCACCAACAAAGCAGTAGTGGTCAAGGTTGATATTGCCAACAACAATATTCGCCAATATTAAATATTATTATATCCAATTCCTATATTATATCAAGAATATGAATAAACATTATGTAATGTCATATACGTATATAGAACAATGTAATACTAGTGTTATCATTATCCTTGATTATATTTCAACATCATGATTGTTCTCTAATGTCATACATTACAGTACAGTATGTTCATCACCGACCGTATCCAACTGAGAGGTTCTCCAAATTGAAGAAATCAAAATAAGTTGATCTTTGAAAAGAGAAACTAATGGTTTTGGGCTACAGTAGCCCCGAACGTAAGAAATATAACCATGTCTTTATTAGAAATAATGATTCATGGCCAAAATTATTGTATGAACCATATCCAAAAAATAACATTGCTATTATTATTGCCAACATGTGTCAAGAGAAATGTTAGTAAAGCAATAGCAAACCATCCCAAATTGAGCACAAATGGGTATAAACCGTTATGAACCGTCGTAAACTAGCTGGTGTATTATTGCTGATACTAACATATATTAACATTATATATATATGTATGAAGCTATATAAAATATGTTAGTAAGCTATATCCATATTGCTGATACTAACATATTATATATATATATAACCAATATATAAAATATCCTTACCGAAGCAGTTTTTTTCCGGGTCACACTTCGCATGGCCATGGCTCGGTCGCTTTATCAAAAGTCGGGCAGGCAACAGCGCGGCGCGGCTCGGGTTGCTGGAGCCGGTGACGGCAATGGGGACTTTACCCTCTGGGATCGGCGGGGGCCCCCTTCATTCTCTCATTTTTTTCGTTACCCTCCGGGATGTTCCATGATTTTGCCATGGTCTTCCTGCAGTGCAATGGGACTTTTTCCGTGATGTTTCATCATGTTAAGGAGATGGTCCATGGTTTTTTCTGAGTTTAATGGGAAAACACTTGAAAAAACACTTGAAACATGATGAAACATGGATATCAAGAAGGATTTTTCAGCACCAGGTGTAAGTACAAAAGGATGATGTTCTTCAGCAATGGGAATCTAAGCAGCAAGAATGCTTAGATTCCCAAACGAAGTGGTGTTTAAGCAAGAATCATAGGGATTTAATGGTCTAAAGATGTCTAAAGTCTATCAAAAATGGGTCGCTCAGCCAACCAACTGTTTGAAACAATGGAATCTTGGGAACTCATCTGGTGATATTGAGACACACCCAAACTTGGGATGTCAATGATGTCAACCAATCCAGAATTGCGCTATTAACAAAGGTAGCTCGGCGGATAAAACATGATAAAACCATTATTAATGTACACTTAGGCTTGCTAACAGCTGTACCAAGTGTAAGTTGTACAAAGTGTAGTTGAAGATTGTGTAGATCTCCAGGCCAATGATGAGGTAGCAAGTTCGGCAACCACAGCTGTACCAAATGCGGTTCATTCGCGCTGTGACTCTTTCAGTCGTCTGGAATCATGGATATTACATGATATTACCATCCTGCAATCAATCATGGCAAAGGCACATTCCCCATTGATAGCCAAAATTCCCACTAAAACCTCGTTTTAGTTCGTTGATTTTCCATGTTTGAGTACCGAAGCTTCTGTCACCGTTTGTTCCTGGATCCGGCCCCGTGCTGAAGTTCAGACCCAGCGTTTTCGCGCCAGTTTCGCGCCAATGACATGTCAGAACATTGGAAGCGACTGGGAGATCCAATGTGCCCAACGATTCTTGTATATGACGATATGACATACACAGCCCATTTGGGGACACATACGAAATTTGGGAAAATGATTAAAAAAAGCAGCTGTTTTTTTGGGGGATGCCGTTTTTTTCCACATTACCACTGATACCACCATCGACTCAGCTGCACTTGGGGAAACGCGTGGCCTCCGGATTTCCCACTTGAAATCAATGGAAAAAAATTAGCTTCATTATCACGGCTGCAACTTCGCCACTATATCATCACTGGTTGATGGTTGCCATTAGTCACGTGAGGCATGAGATTCATCATCCGAAGAATCTCTATCAACCGGATAACAGTTCACCTATCCATCGCATTCCATTTGCTTTGGGCAATCTCAATTTTGCTGGCAAGTCAGTAATGAAGACAAGTGGTAGATGTGCATACTGTGGCTCCACTACCTCATCTTAGCACATATATCCATCCTGCAAGTCATTAAACCTAACGTCTAATGGTTTGTCAACTTTGCAATTGCTCAATAGATGGGTTTAAGAAAAAAACTACTGGAAACTCTGGTTCTACCCTGCTACGGTTTTCTCTGAAAATCCTGTGTTCTTCATCATTTTCCCATAATTTCCACATGAAAAAAATTGAAAAATATAAAAATGGCCAGTATCAGGTATTCATTCCCAGTGTACTACAGTATATCCTGATTTTTTTGTTGGGCAAACAATAAATGCAAGATTAACTGCATATAAGTCTTGCTTTTGAAACCACCAACCAGTTCTCTCTTGGCTCACTCATCCGAACTCTCTGCCTGTCTCAGGTGGGATGGCAGTCGTTACATTACTATCATGACTACCCTCTGGTAATGACTCACATAGCTATGGAAAATGCTCATGTTTAATATTTACCAATTAAACATGACATTTTCAATAGCTATGTTAAATTACCCCGAGGGAACAGCCCCCATGGAGATTTTTAAATGAACCAAACTGGCTCTGCACTGAGCCAGAAGATGCTTTTTGAGGAAGGCTATAAGAATGGCATAATTAGATTGCCTATCATGTTTATGGATATTCCGATAAGAAATCTTAAATACCTCTTGTATCCTCTTACAAGTATCATATGATATGAAATGGGACCGAAAAAATATACATTAAAAAAACATACATATACATATCCCATAGCTTTCCAACCATTCACTTTGCCTCTTAAATTGCCTCTTGCCCATATTTTCATGCCTAGATCCAAAATGGTTGTTGGTGCAACTGAAAATAAAAGTTTAATGAGCTTGAATCGTCTTGCTTGAATGCGTGAACCCCCACCTGCTGATGTATCGTTGGTTGGATCGAGTGAAGTCCCAGATGCTGTTGCTTCAACATGTTCGAATGTTAAATCTTCATTATTTTCGTTGGCTAATCACTAATTAATCATCATCATTATTTATCATATGGAGGTTTCCTGAAATGGGGCTACCCCCAGTTACCATCTATTTCACGATTGAATTTTCCATGAAAATAAACCATCCAGCGAGCTTGGGGTACCCCATGACTATGGAAACCCTCCAGGCTCTATCTTCACCGGCCCTCCCAGGTCGCCTGTGCACGGCCCCTGAGGGTGGGAAATTTCTGAGCCAGGCCCCACCTGAGTCAGCTGAAGGGCTGTGAAAAGGTGGAATCAACATGAGCTAAGCAACAAAAATTGGAGATCAACAAACGAAATAATTAATTATGATTGAACCGACAACATATGCGAACATGTGGTGATTTCTTCTACCACGTATATTTATACATTACATATACTGGTAGATAATGTAGATATATAACTGTATATTACATATACCACATATAACTTGATCATATATTCTACCACATATATTATATACATATATATATATACACACATGGACTTTAAAACTTTATGATCAAGTTATGAGTAATATGCGAACTCGACAATCAAGCAAGGCTCGCTTCAAAAGGCAAGGATGTGGCAGGCAACAAATGATTTCACCAGCCAACTACAAAAACAAGGGAGAAACAATGACAGCAACCAACTCTCCAGGTACGACCATTTACTTCACAAAGTGCTGGTCACTCTAAGAGAAATCCAAATGGTCACGGTTAGAATTGGAAATTGAAATAACTATATTATATTTACAAATATATACACATTATACAGAATACACCCGCTCAAATGCTGCTTAATCCGGAACTGTGCATAGTCGTTAATCCCAAAAAACTTCTGGACATTTTGTCAGGTCATACAATATATCACCTAATCCCAATCCAGTGCCCATTAAACTTAAATGAATGTAAATCAGCATGTTTGGGACTTGGGGGTGCAGTTGAGATTATTCATAGCTCTAAAATGCTATAGGAGAACCCCACGTATATCATCAGAATTGAAGCTTTAAACCATCATAACTTTTCTTGCAACAAAAAGACACCTGTGTTTTCTTTGGTGGTTGAGCCATCTCACCAAGCAGGATAAGTATGGTTCATCCACTATTGTTATAAGTTATAATCCAAAAAATGTGGATTCACCAAAAAATGTGGATTAACTAACAATAGTGGATGAACCACCACTATTGGTGATATGTCACCACAAAAACACATCGTTTTTTTTTCTGCAAAAACTGGTGTCCCCAACTTCATGATCCGCTCGAACTCTGGAAAGCTCACGCGGTCATCCCGACTGGAATCTGCCTGATTTTGGGACGCGGAAAGATTGAGGATGTAAAATGAGGATCTATATTCAATCAGCATCAATTTATTAGGATATGTTCATGAAATTAGAATTAACCTAATTCTAGCCTAATATCAGTAAATCATCATTTTAATTGGGATTTAACACCCCATGTATGGGAATTGGAACATAAAAAAGTATGGAATGTGAATGACTTGGGAGGAAACTGAAAGCAGGGATTTGAATTCCCAAATATTAATCGAATACTCTTTCTATATCATGACGTAATTTTGGATTAATATACATGGTTAACTCAATATTTTGGGATTTGACCCCCCTATATAATTAATATTGGTGACTTAACCAACAAGAGGAGATAGTGTATGCTAATGTGGCAAACCAAATGCTATAAAGATCATACAGCACCCCTACTTGATTATCGAGTATACACCTGGATGTGAAATGACACCTTATTGTTGTTGATTACTGGGACAGCGTATTCCAATATATTCCAATGGGGGCATACCCGAAAAAATTCCCGCCATGTTTTGCCGGTTTTCTTGGATCGCGTGGACCTCCTCCATCATTTTTCTCAAGTCCTGGGGGTAGGAAGGCTAAGTCCAAAATTGCTGGAGACTACCATTTCCACCAACACATGCAGCTATTGGAGTCTCAGTTCGAAGGATCGCGCATGTTTGGATCCACCAACCCTATTTCTAAACACATGGCGAGGTTGAAAATCCATCTTCAGAAGTGGATTATTTTTGAAACATGAGCCGAAGTGATGGGTTAAGTCTTAAACCCAGGATCAAAAAACACCAAGTTCTTGCAGGGTCTTGAAAAACGCATGCCATCTGGTAATCTTTGGACCGAAATACTCAAAAGTGGTGGTTCCCAATTGTTGAGTCTCTAAGTGATGTGATGACTCTTTCAGCACTTCCTTTTCCAATGCCCGTTTGACTTCCAAGCGGCAGTGGTGGGCCTATATATCACCAGTGAAATTGGGTCTATCCAAGAGATTGGAATGTTTCGAATCCATCTGCTGCCCAAACATTGGATGGTGCACTGCTAAAAATGACCAGCCGCCTTCAATTTGTGAGGCCCTGGATTGTAGTTGGAAAAAGGATACAAATCTCAATCAAAAACCGGGGAAGACCAAAGATTTGGCCTTGCCTTATAATTTCCAGTACATGGCTGGTTCACCAACAAGGCCATCTGTGATCTCTTTGAAATGGAGTTGGATGTGCATCCAAGAAGCAATTTTTAGTGGTGGGACCCTGGTTATACAGCCAATATTGGATATGGGATCTGCCCCGTTGAGAAACACGCAAAAACAAAAGTGCCCCTCCGTGCCCCGAAACGAACTCCTCCTTGGTCAAACCGCCTGGACTCTGCAGGGCAGGACATGGTATTGAAGCACCAAGAATGGACGTGCAAAAAGGGAACAAGATTTTCACCCAACATCGGGAGGTTGACCGACAAGAATGGGGTTATAAGCTCCCAAAAGTGGGGGTAAAACGGGGTAAACATGCAAACATGAGGCAGCAAGAATGTGAATTGCGGCAAAAACTAGCCTCTTGGTAATCGAACCTGGCAACAGAAAATTCATGAAAATTCCAGATTCGCATATTTTCTGCATGGTGAAACTTGGTGTTTCGGAAGCAGTCACGCATGTTTGATTATAAGACGCCCTTGTTGGATATGTTTGAGGAGTTACAATTTTGCTGGCGAAACGTTTCCGGGATCGTTGTTTTCTTCGAATGCATGCTATGCCCATGATTGTTGCTTGGATGTGTGTAATTTTGTGGAATGCATTGCAAATGAGAACTCAAAGGTGTTCCTGCCTAATTCCAACCAGTTTCTTGGTGGTTTTTACCCCTGATACATTGAAGGCAGATCCATATGCCACTTGTCTAATATATGTTGGTCACCTCTGGCTCCACTCATCCGATGTTAGGGATGGAAAACCCTTTGACACTGTCGTGTTTTCATCTTGAACATGTTTGCTGGTGATTTCCACATGTGAAAACAACCATCCAGCCTGGTGGAAAATTGCTGCCATCCTCATTAGTTGCTGCTTATATCCCCAGTGTTGTCGGACAATAACCCAATGTTTTCTGATTCATAGCCCGACTGATTCATCATTTAGTATCATGTTTTGTGGTCATCAAATTGAAATCATCAAGTCCCCATCCATTGCTGCTTCCACCAGCATATAGTTCTGACATGCTCTGACCAGATTACCACAAACCTGAAATAGACCGTGCTTGAGTTGTCGACCCCTGAGATCATCAAACATCCTGAAAATACCGGAAAAATCCTCCGGTTTCGTTGCTGAAAAACCATCATTAATGGACGGAACCCGAATGGATTTCCACAACATCCATTTGGTGTTTGACGTAGACGTAGCCATATTTTGACTACATTTCTATGTTAGACCGTCGACCTATTTGTCTACATCGATTGTCAGGGATTTATTGCTGCGAATTTCCCCAGTGTCCAATTCCATTTTTATCATTTTTTATCACCATATTGGGAAATTCTCCATCTGCTGTCGGATCTCAAAAAAAAATGCCCGAAAACCGCAGGATTCGAACCTCCACAGGTTCGTGTTTTTTTTGACACTTCAACATCAACCCACATTTTTTGATGGTGATGATATGGAAATTTCCTGAAATGGGGGTACCCCTAAATCATCCATTTTAATAAGATTTCCCACTATAAACCAACCATAAATTGGGGATCCATTTCAGGAAACCTCCATATGATCAAAGCCGCATTTTTGGTTGGTTGTCCACAGTTTGATATCCCCATGAATCCAGGCGACGCTGAAACATTTTGGCGCCCTTCTCTAACTCCTCAATGGACAAGAAACCTCCAGCCGAATCATGGTGAGAAATCGGGAACAGGTCATGAACAGGTTGTAAGTTATATGGGGACATCACCAACAAATTAGGATTCAATCAGGCAAAGCAGGGATACAATGGGATATGTTTGTATATGTGTATGTATGGCCAAGATTCGCGTATGTACTAACAACTGGCGACTTGTTGGGTCAATAAACTGTTACCAGTAGTGCCGCACAAGGCGGTGGCGGGAGTTTCAAAAATAGGAAACCTATAGGAGAGGTTGGTTATTGTGAATCGCGGATGGCAGAGCGAATCCACTGATGGACCGAAAGGTGGTTGAAGTCGTGTTTTTTTGGAGTGGTTGCAATGGTTGCAGTGGTCACCTCACCCAAAACTGCTGGATGTAGTGTGGTGTAGTGTAGTAGTGGAGTTGTAGTTGTAATGTGTAATAAGTGTAGCGTAGTTGCAGTTGCAGTTGTAGTTGTGGTGTGGTGTAATTAGTGTAGTGTATTGTAGTGTATTGTCGTGTTGTGTACTGTAAACACGGTAGTGTGGTATAGTGTAGTGTAGTCTAGTGTGGTGTAGCCTAGTGTAGTGCAGTGTAAGGTAGTATAGTGTAAGGTAGTGTAGTTGTAGTTGGTTTAGCGTGGTGTAGTGAAATTAGTGCAGTGTCGCGTAGTGCCATTTAGTGGTAGCTACACTTGTTGTTGCAGTTGTAGTTGTAGCTGTAGCGTAATGTAATGTAATCAGTGTAGTGCAACGTAGTGTTGTGTAATGTAGTGCAGTTGTAGTCGCATTTGTATTTGTAGCTGTAGCGTGCTGCAGTGTAATTAGTGCAGTGCAGTGTAATGCGGTGTAGTTGATATTGTTGTTGTAGTTGTGGTAGTAGTAGCTGTTGTAGTTGTAGTGTAATTAGTGTAGTGTGGTGTAATGAGATGTAATTGGTGTGGTGTAGTGTAGTGTAATTAGTGTAGTGTAATGTAGCGTAGTTTATTTGCATTTGTAGTTGTAGTAGTAGTGTAGTGTAGTGCAGTATAGTGGTAGTCGTAGTTGTAGTTGTAGTTGTCTATCTATCTATCTATCTATCTATCTATCTATCTGCAATCTGCAAGCTTGAAAACGAAGCAATTCAGCGAGACTTCCTCAACTTTTGAACTTGATAACGTCAAAAAGGAAGCAATTCTGCGAGACTCCCTCAATTTTTGAAGTTGGCAACATCAAAAACGAAGCAAGTCTGCGAGACTTCCTCAATTTTTGAAGTTGACAACATCAAAAACGAAACAATTCTGCGAGACTTCCTTCAAAAATGGAAAGTTGAGTGCAGAGCTGACGGCCTCGTACCATTGCGTTTTCCGATTTTTCCACTCCACCTGTCTAAAGTGCGCCTGCCACGAAAAAGTGATGCCAGGTCATACGAAGTGCTGCACCTGTCAGGCAAAATCATCTTCCCAAAACTGAAGATCTGATGCTTCAAAATGCAACCCCTCTCAGGAAATCAGCGCCCGCATCTCTGACGAACATGTCTCTTGTACTGCGCCTGCCATGGAAAATGCATCTTGCCAGATCCTCGTCAAATGTCCCACGCCTGCCATCGTTTTTGGAAATGCCACAAAACCCTCATGTTTCGCTAACTTTTGACAAGATCCACAATCCCTTGCACCTGCCACGTGGAATGACATCTGAACGTCCAAGATGGTCCAAACATGTGGTGTTTTTAACATTTTGATTTCGAAATGTGCTTGGCGCCACAACGGCGTGCACTTTTTCGACATCGCAACTTCCAAAAGTGGTCCGAGCATGGTGTGATTTGTACGTTTTGACTTGGAAATGTGCTTCGCGCCACAACGGCGTGCACTTTTTCGACATCTCAACTTCCAAAAGTGGTCCGAGGCTGAGGTGCTTTGTACATTTTGAGTTCGAAATGTGCTTCGCGCCACAACGGCGTGCAATTTTTCACCTCTCATCTCCCCAGACGGCTCCGCACCCGCCGCTTTGGCGAGGTTACTTTTTGACCATCCGAAGCCACAAATCATTGGAAAAACACAGTGTTTCGCGACTTTGCTACCTTTTTGCGCACCTGCATCTGCTTTCTTCTCACTCTTTCTCTTCTCTGATCTTCTCTCTTCTGCCCTTCTCCTCGCGGACTCTTCCCACCTCTGCTTTTCCATCTGTCCATGTTGTCGGAAGTTTGACTTCTAAATTTCCTTCGATACTGGGGTCTGAATCTCTATATCTTGGAATTCTTATAGTTGTACGCATATCATGGGTATTTCCAAAACGCTCTATACGCCAAAATGGGCGAACAGGATTATAGACAAGTAACAAGTGGATTTGAGGGTATATATTCTTGGACAAACTTTGTAGCTTGTAAACACTTGCCGACCATCAGTTTTAACTTCCAGGGCGAGCAAACTGGGTGCTGTATGTTGATACCTTGTATGTGTAGTTGATACCTCATTTCATGGAATGATGGGGTGTACCATTGTGAAAATCTAGAGATTTCAACGCCTGGCAAGCGGACTGTATCATTTTCTTTTTGATTGCCGGAGATTTCCAAATGGGTACATTCTACGTTTATGTATATAACCTATGGGACCCATGATCCGTTCATCCAATTTAAAAGTATCTATAAGTGAGTCTTATATCCAGCTAATAGCCAGGCAAGCAAGGTTAGTCCACTGATGGCTACTTGGATGCTTGGATGCTCATCACAAAGCCGCTTGGGAGCTGACAAGGGTGCTCAACCAGTTGCTGACGGCGCAGCAGACTCAGTCTGGTGGATGAGTTTTACTGAGAACATCGCAACAACATCCCTCAAAGATGGAATATTGACCTAACTTCCCATGCTAGAGAAATTCCAAGATGCTTGCATCTTTGAAACCCAGAAGAGTCGGCAAAAATCCTGGAATTTCCCCGCAACATCCAGCAAACTTGAGAGAAAATCCTGGGGAAATTCGGCCCCAAATGGCGGCTGGTTTTGTGCCCCACTTGGTGGCTCATCCCACTTAGTAAGTGGGTTATAACATGTTATAACCCCAGTTATAAGTGGATTAATCCTACTTATCCCATTTATAACTGGGGTTATAACCCACTTACTAAGTGGGACGAGCCACTTAGCATCATCTCCTTGGCGGAAGCGTCCCAGGAACCGTCCGAATTCTCGTCCAAGATCTTGAAGGCTTCGATCAGTTCCGCGGAGAAGTCTCGATCCTGGCACGCAACACTGAGGTCTTGGGCGGCTTTTGTTGGGATTTTTCATGGGGATACCATGGGATATACTTAGATGGGCCATGGAGTTAGTTAACTAGTTAGTAAATGGATTATAATTGGGATTTTTTGGGGGTTATAACCCCAGTTACTAACCAGTTAGCTAATCCTATGGCCCATCTAAGTAGTGCACCAACTTGATATGATCTATGGGATTGTCTGAATAAATGTTGGGAAATGTTGGGAACATTCCAAAATGCCGAGTACCATCATGTTCATGAAAAATCATCAAAATTCACATTGTGGATCAGGCTCAGGTATTCCTTCCAACTTGTGAGGAAAAACACATTGTGTCCCCTGTATTGCCTCAAAAAAATGAAAAAAAACACATATGTATATAACTCCAAAATCACAAAAGCCCTTGTGAAGGCTTTTTAAACACATTGTGCCCACACGCTGAATAAGCTGTCCTTGGGATTCATGGCCACAATGTTCAAGAATTCCTCTTTGCTGAGCTTGCCATCCCCATCCTCTGTGGTTTGCAGCGTACACCCAGGACGATTACATCAGGGATATGGAAGTTTTGGGGGGTTACAACCCACAAAAATGATCGAACATTGCATTCCCGGCTGGAATCTCATCTTTAAATCTCTTGTTCTGAGGGGTTCAGCGGTTGGCTTTTGGGTCTGAACCAAGAATCATCAGGAGTGATCAATGAAATGCAAGTGATATTTGACGCCCCTATCTCTTTTGACGAATCACACACCACAGATCGCTCAAACAGGCAAATATTTCACATTTGACCGTCAATTCCGTTGAGCTAGGAGAATCTGGTAGGCTTCAGCCTACTTACCTATGCTCTGCCCGGAAAGTTTCAACTGTGTTCAAACATTCTCCTTCAACATGCTCAAACACCTGTGCAGGGCGAATACTTGCGCAGGGCTAGTGTTTTAGCATGTCCCAGAACGACGAACCCTAAATCCTGCCTGAACCCTGAAACCTAAACCCTCAACCCGCCTGAAACCCTAAATCCTAAAATCTACCCTCTGGTAATTTAACATAGCTATGGAAAATCACCATGTTTTATGGGAAAACTCACTATAAATTGCCATTTTCAATAGCTTTTTGTATGTTTACCAGAGGGTAAACACTAAATAACACTAAAACCTCTGTCTAAACCAGAAAACACTGCATATACGCAGTATTTTCTGCAATCTCTCCTATCATGTTCGACAACACGGCATCCTCAATCTTCAATTCCGGGCAAACCGCCGGGTCTGTGAGTAACCACCACACTTCTATTTCATGAACTAAAGCAGCTGACCAACAGTTCAAGAATCACTCCACAACAGGTCAAGAATCATAAACCTACTGACCTACTCATACTGTTGGATAGTACAATCATAATATATCCAGTATATCCAGTATATCCCTATCTGTTCTTGGTTCCGTAGCCACCTGGGCCCATGGAGCCCGGTGGAAAACACTGGAGCCCATGGAGGTCTCGGCGTCTTTTCCGAGCGTCCACGTCCACTTTGCCGATGAATTTCTGTCGCCGTGGGATGCCATGGTAGCCGGGTAGCATTCACCAAGTTGGGAGCTGAAGAACTACCCAAGATCTTTAGGGATCCAAATTACGTAAGTGAATATAGGGATTTATTGGGATATAAATGATATAAGTATAGATAGTACTAAGCAAATGGATGTTAATCATGTTGGTTTCTGTAAATGTTTCTTTCTTGTATCAGGGAGTGGACCAATTGGCGCCTTGAGAACAAGTGAAGGTTGTACCCTCTACTTGGATGGTTGAGCTACTTCAGGAGTCACGCCCAAATGTTGAGCAAACATGGAATGGCTTCATGGCTTACTGCTGAAATATGACGTACCCCGGGTCTTGATTTTTGATCTATGGCCACATATCAACAAATAATTTGTGCCAGGAACCTGGTTGATTTTTGGAAAGTGGGTCAGAAGCCACTTGCAAAATCCGAGTTCTAAAAGGGCAGACGTCCCGGCGGTTGCTCTTCCAAAAATGTCAGTTGGGATCATCCTAGGATGAACCGTCCTTCTTTGCATCGCAAAATGGTGACAGCTCCCATCGAAATCGATCACTTCAAAATGACGAACCAAGCTACCAACGCAAATGTCCAAGCTCTCATGCCTGGGTATGAACGTTTGATCCATGACCATCCCAATTACCACTTGTCGCTGTCATGTCACTGTCATATCCATGCTTGGTAAGTCCTCCAACTGGGGTATCTCCTAAAACCGGTGGCAACACATCCAGTACCCCGCAACGCTGACCTCAAGCTCCTCGGGCGTGGGAAAGTAGCCTCCGGCCTTCAAGACTGCGCCAATGTCCTGGCAGCGGGATAGTTCTGGATGGTTCATCTTGAGGACAGCATCCAACAGTGCTGTCAAAATCAGATTTCAGATGACAAAGGATCCACATATATATATATATATATTATATATATACACAGTATAAATATATATATATATATCTATACAGTATATATATATATATATTTAACATTATTTAACATTCTTTGGCCGATGATTGGCTGCATGTTGCTTCACCCAGAGGGATGATCACTTCACGACAAGTATCTCCAGGTCCATCTGAGCGATCGGCATTGGAAAAGATGGGAAGTCGTGGGACAAAAATCCTTTGGTGATGAAAATCCATGAGAAAATGATGGGAATATCTGGTGGGAAATGATGGGAAAATACAAATGTGTTCCGATTTCTGGCTGATCATCAAATCCCCCCCGAAGGTTCAATACACTATACCAGAAGTTCATACATTTTCAGACACACCCAAGACAAAACGGCAAAAAGATGGAGTTGTTCTTCTGCAGGTCACAGTGACCTCCTCAAACTCGAACAGCTGGCAAGCTGGTCGCGTTTGATTCCCACATTCTAGTCACCTCAAAAAAGAATCAAAATGAAAATCCAATTCCAAAATAATCTGGTCCATACTCTTATTTTTTCTTTCCTGGGCAATGATATCCCAATGGACAGCGCCCTCATCTGGTCCACAATATGATAAATATGAAACTATGCTTTTCTTTAGTCGTTTTTGGGTGCTGACAACCTTCAGCTCAGTGGGCAGCCGCGGTCCGACTTTGTGATATGGCCGGTGCTCGAATGGTCAAAGAGAGCGAAGGCGGCGGCATAGTCAGCCTTCGCATCCTTCGCAGGCGGGAAATGATGGGTTTTGGATGGTTTTGGTAGGGAGATGGGTCGAAACATGTCGTAAATGTTGGCATTTTTTCTTACAGTAAATTCATGGGGAACGCACCAAGAAATGTCAAAGATATGCTTTAAACAAAAACCTTGAACTAACTTGGGGGAGACCATTTTTCACATGTGCTTTAAACTCAGGCTGGTGCTTCCATGGCTACTGCTAGCCGCTGCTCGCCTTCATCCAAGAGCTGCTGGCTGTTCATCCCCTCCAATCCCTCCATTGAGAATCCCTGATATTTCGGGTACCCGGCCTGGTAAACTAACAGTTTGCTATTGAAAATGGCCCATTTAGTTCGTGGATTTTCCCATTGAAAATGGTGATTTTCCATTGTTATGTTGGTTTACCAGAGTGTAACCCCCGAACTATATAATCATCAACCATCATTTATCAGCTCTACAAGACCATCATCTAAAAAATCCCCGTAGTATTCCCTAAACGACGATTGTCAACCAAGGCTATGGATCCCTGACCTTCCAACCACAAGGTTTAACGTTGTGGTTAGTCTAACCCCATGTCTTTACTTAACCCCATCATTTCACTGCCTATCACTACTGCCTTCCAAAGAGCAGAGGCAGAATCTTTGATTGCATCAAGAATGCAGAATAAACAATACCGGCCTTTAAGGAGTTCCAAAAAGTTCCCTTCCCTTCAGCTTGCCATTACTGAATCCTAAAGATAGTATCCATGACGCACATGCTCCATAAAAAAAGGTAGGGCGCAAAGTGTCACACCAGATCTTCGATTTTGCAAAAACTCTAAGTCAAACCATTATTTGAGTTTTGCCCCCCAGTTTTTTGATGGTGTTCACGGGTTTTTCACGGTCGTTTCACGCACTTTTCACGTTATTTTCACGCACTTTTCACACTTCAAAATGGACCAAACAAATCGTTTAGAAAAAGAATGCTTCAGATTTTGCCATTTGCAAATGGATCTGACCTCTGGGCAGATTCGCGTTCTTCCTCTTATACCGCTTTTCCACCCACTCTTCATAGCAATATTTCTGCCCAAACTGCTTTGGGACTGAGCCAACACGGTTAGTCCATGTTAGTCCACTCTTTGGATGTGAAACAGTTTGTGGCTAGATAGAACTGATTTTCTGCAGTCATCTAAAGACAAGGTTTAATGTTGTGGTTAGTAACCCCACAGTTAAACGTTGTGGAGGAAGGTCAGGGGATAGTAAAAAAAAACATAGAACCCCTACCTTTGCTTAAATCATCTTAGAAATTCTATTTATAGATCCCATTAAAATCCGCTTTTGACCCATCCTCATTTTGTCCCATACCCTCACCTCCGGCAGAAAGGCATCCCTCTCGGTGAACTCGTGGGGTTCGTGACCGCTGACGAAGGACTTCCTGGGTTTCAATCCCCTCGGTTTCTATGGGGCTTCGTGATGGAAATTATATGGAGATATATCATTGGTTAACATAAGGACATCTCCTGATATCATGGTTACTATCCTGATATATCCTGTTATGGAATATGTTATGGAGTGTTATGCCTATACAATGGTTATAATATAAATATGATGTTGAGGGATTAGCATCCAGATTATCTGGATATGGGTAAAAACTAGAATCTAAATACATTGAAACTATCTGGACATTGCTCTGGAGATATATATATATATCCAGGCAATGATCCAACATGGCAAGCTGGAACATTCCCGAACTCAACGGGGAAGTTTCCAGCAGGGCACGCTTGATTACCCGAGGGGAACCATGGGGGAACCATGGTAAAAACAGGTAAAAACCCACCAAAAAATGGAGTTTCTCCGGATAAAACGGGGGCAAACGGCCTGCAAAACGTTTGCAACCATTGAGTTGATAGCTATGTAATTCGAAGGGGCTCAGGCCAACAATGGGGAATTGACCAATAAGAAGGAGTGAACCAGCCAATTGTAGGTGGGGGTGCCATGCAACCAACGAAAACAGTCATAGAACCCAAACTTAGCCCTCTGGGTAACCCAGGAGAGGAATAAAAAACTACCATTTCGAATAGCAGCATCATTTACAGTAAAGAGAGGAAGATCCAAAATGTACTAGATTGCGAGACAGTGTACCTTTAATCCTGGAGATAAGTTTAGAAGTGTTTGGAAAATCAACCGACAACCTACGAGTCAACCAACGATCAACTCAGAATCAACCATATCAATTAGCAGTAGCAATCAGCCAACCATCATCAGGCTCGAGTATTAGCCACTCAAAGCCCCAAAACACTTCAACCTTGGACCATGCAGCATCAAGGGTTTCCCCCTGGTCAAGAACAACGGCTGTTGGATATTGGGGATTTTAATGAGGATATCAAGTCTCACAAAGCGCATGAAATGGCTGAAGAAAATGTGAAAGTGATGAAACTGATGACAGATCAAAATTTCAAGTGGGAAATATGCGAGCTTTCAAATTCGCTCTGTCAACTGACGAGCTTGGGATGGTTCAGGATATCTTCTAAGTTATCCGTTAAATTCTTATCCATTGATGCCATGAATGTCAACTTTGGATGAACGACCTCTGTCGATCAATTGGGTTACCCAAAAAAAATCCAAAAATGGTGCTAAATTGCATTAAATTGCTATCAAGATTTACCCGGGGATATTTATTCTGGGTTGCCATTGTTTGCCCAGAAAGGCTGTGAAAAAAGGGAGGTTGGATCGCCTTCAGCCAATGAGATTTGAGGACAACAGGCTGCACCTGCCAAGCATCAAGCTGGTACCTTCGGCCATTCTGAAACTTCTTTGCCTGCAAGACTTCACTGAAACAATGGCAGATGATAATTATGTATACATCGAACATATTCCAAAGTGATCAAAATATATGAAGATGAATGATGAAAGATGCTGAATTAGAATTCCTCTATCTTGCATGTCATGTTGATAGGTTGCAGACCCGTTTTGTTGGTTCTTCTTCCATTGTTGCTGTTTGAACCCCATGTGCCTTCGTTCCAGACCCCCACCGTTTGACCGTGCCTCTGGAACTGCTATGCCGTTCATGGTTTATTCATGTTATGTTTCTTCCGCCATGTAGTTTAAATTATCTTATTAAATCATCTTGTTCACTGTTCAAACATCGAAAAACATCTGAAATCACTCACTCACAAGCAGCGGACGCATCCGTCCAAGCTGAGCAGAGGGCCTCTTCAGATCCCAAACCCCAAACGTCCCTCCGGCCTCATGGCGAAGTAGTACCAGCGCTGTAGAGCGCCATCAGCCCAGCTAATGGCCATGATCTGAGCAGCTCCCCAAGATGTTAGGCAGATTGTCATCTATGACACACACACACATGTATAATGATATATATATATTGCTATATATATATATATTAATTATATGTCTATTGTAGAGAGAGAGAGAGAGCCAGTGTTAGAAGATCAGCAAAAATTGATATGAGTACCCTACAGTGGGTTTATATACCCATTTTTTTGCAGATACACTTGCTCGTTTGCTAGAGCATGAGCGAATTTGGTTCAGTCTCGGCAGCATCATTGTTTATCTTCGCGGTACGGTTCGATTAAAAATACAATAAAATATACTGTATAGATCAGTATAGAACAAATGGTTTCACAAATTTAATCTGAAGCATAGGTCAATTGACTCACATATATTCTCATATTTAGTAGTATAATATAGTAAATACATGCAAATACTACTTCAGCAATAAACAAAGTCCTGAGCCTATGCAGATGTCCCTATGTGTGCCTGATCTCCGACCTTTCCAGTAGCAGCACCTGCCGCTCAGGCGGGCCACGGGAAAAGTGGCGCAACGCAACGGGAAAGAACTTATGGCAAATCCGGAAATACATGGGGATTATATGGGGATTGTGTTTGGATTATATGAGATATATGGATATTTTATGGAGATTAACCATCAAGAATGGTGATGGTATGGGGGTATTCCTCCGGTAATCAGACATGGACATGGCTATATATTTGAAAAATCAATGAAAATCAACCACAGTCGATGATTTCCCAGCTATAAAGCTCCATTTAGTTGCGGGAGTTCCCAGCTAGCCACGACGTTTGAGGACACCGGAGGGTAAGTCCACTGGTGTCTTTCTTGGATATGCAAAAATTAATGTAAACCATTGAAACTTGTTGACACGCAAAAAGATTGACATGATATGACAGATGTCAGTCGACCCAGTCGCTTCAAGTCGCTGCCAAGACGCCCCAGCCACCACGAGGAGTTCCCAACAACGGCAGGATGGCCTGGGAGAATTTTCACCAACTTGGTATGGATTTTTATGGCCGGTATGGATCCCTGGTCCCTGTGTCCCCGGGGCAGAGCCTACCAGGATGTTTCCCAAACTATTCCAAGCTGGCTCAAAACATGGTTTAATAAGTTGAAGATCACTTCAACAGGGGGAGGACTCCCACTGAGGTTGTATGGAAAACATCCAGGGTAGGGAGATGCTCTGCCATATCTCCTGTAGATAGGGGGCTTTCTGCCAGATCGTCCATAAACTTTTTGCTAAATCCTGGTCGTGGCTTCATCATTCTTGAATTATCTTGATTAAAGATACGGTAAAAAGATGTCACCACCAGTTCTGAGTTTCATGGCTATTTCTTAAAACATCCGGAATACACTTGTTTGACTTATTAAGCAATCAAGAAAACAGATAAATAAACTCTCGGGAGCCCCAAACAACTCCACAATTCACGCCATCTTTGGGACCCCCCCTGATCATCTTCCCTGAGGGAGACGACAAGCAGGACCAGAAAAGCACAACCAGGGTAGTAGACCTGTGCTGCGGGAACGATTCTGGGCAGTTCTCCCAGATGTCCTCGGATTTGGACACTTGTTGGATGTCTTCCTAGATGGTACCCATTGGTACCCCCAGTTATCATCTATTTTCAGAGGATTTTCCATGATAAACCATCCAGCGATAAAGGGGTATCCTCATTTATTAAAGAACACCCCATATATCATCATAAATATCTAAATGAGGCTCCTAAAAAATCTGAGGACCCACATGAATATCAAAGTCGACCGTCTTCTGGTGGATTTCGTGGGCTTTGTGTGGCCAATCTAAGTCACCATGGAAAAAGATGCCTTCAATAAGCACCTTTTTCAGGGTACGATTTTTTTTTTGCTCTTCAAACTGGCAAGAATAGAAACCATGAAAACCTACCCCGAACTTCACCTGTGGGTTTACTTTCAACAAATCTGCCTTGGATTCAGGGCGAGATCCTCTGGGAGCCGGGCCCAAAGGGGATTCGGCAGCCCCGAACGCAGCAGCGGGGGGTTCAAGGTCGCCACAAACTGCGGTTTCAAGGTGTCCAGGTGAACAGCAAGGGTGGTTGGTCACTAGCAAAACGTTTCCGATACTGATGGTCAAACATGGTCAAACATGGTCAAACATGGTCAAACATGGTCAAACCTGTGGCATGCGCGAAATTGATGGTTGGAGAGTACTGAAATGGCTACTGAAGGAGGACTGAAGGTACCCTCTGGTAAACGTTTACATAGCTATAGAAAATCACCATGTTTAATAGGTAAATCCACTATTTCGACTGGGCCATTTTCAATAGCTATGTTAAATTACCAGATGGTATATGATTGATATTGATGGCCAAAACTTGTCCTCCCTGCGTCTCTGTCAAATCCCCGTCCTTGATTGATCCCAGGTGATGCGACCCCGGGTTTCCCTGCCATGTTGCCGATCAGCCCTGCCAATGTGGTGAAGACCTGCCACAGAGTAGCTTATGTAGCTTATGGAAAATGGACGAAAATATAGCATTTGCAGTTACAGATGAGTTACCTCTTTTGTGATTTCCCATAGATATGCTAAATCACCGCGATAGATGTGCTAAATCACCACAGAACATGCTTAAGCAGTGAATAATCCCTATACAGAGGCTCAATTTTCATAGGGATTCCCACAAAAGTCTGGTCAGAATGATGATTGACTCGGGACTTTTCTCGGGATGCACAGCCAATAGTATGTAAACACAAACCTCAAAGTATCAGTTCGATACATCACAACATAGGGTGACCTAAGGTCAAAGGCTCAATTGTCAAATCTGCATGCCTTCTGATCCAGATTCACCTCAAGATACCATTGGATAAAGTATATTCCTCACAGCAAAATAGCCGGTAGATGGATGCGTGCTCCCCCAAGTCTAGGATCCGTATACTTTAAAACTCATCAGGTTTTATGGAGGAACGGTGTATCTACCCCCAAAAGCGATATCTTTGTCATCATTTTCCCAGTTGAAATTGCCATGACATTTTGGTAAATCCATCCTTTTCTTTTCAAGTCCAGTCTTTTAGTTATCCTCCGGTAATCAAACATGGCAATTGCAAATCCCCAAACAAAATGTAGGTGTTAATGGGGAAATTCATCTATATATATATATATTATATATATATTCATCTATAAATGGGGAATTGTCCATTGCAAAGTTTGATATCCTCAATGGACTAGTTAAACTTTAAGGATGTTTAAGGAAGAAATTACGGGAAACCCAATCCAGTGATATCCAAGCAACTCCCACGGTGGCCAACGCTTCACCGTTACGTCCCGGAGGGGCTACCTGGGCTACTGGTGATATGAAGATTCTTGCACCAAGTATACAACTGTATATTATTGATCTGATAGGGTTATTAATCGAATCAATATATACAGTATCATATATATATATTATATGACTCATATATATATATATCATATGAACATGTGTATATATATGAACTATATATGAACTATATATGAACTGTGTGCCATTTATCTTGATCGATTTATAATGACCCGATTTTGATTGATATGAATGAATGCACGAATATGTATATAAAATAGAAGACATCTGAGGAATGACATGGCATGGCGAAGGCCATCTACTTACAACTGAACTTGCGCTCATGCTATAAATGCGGTAAACCCAATGATCAACCATACCCGGCTTTATCAGAAATAGGTTGTACCTTTCCCATCCTCCAACTGGGGCTTTACTAAAAACACTTCACCCAACAGGGGAAGATCGGCCGTGCGGCCCCTTTCACACCCACGTGGCCAGGCGTTTGGGTCTGCTGGAATCCTCTCAAGGGGCCAGCGTTTCGGTGGCCAGGCGCAGTTCTATAGGTACACCAGTCAGGAAATTAGATGGTAGTGGAGTTTCTTGAGCAAAAGGTGTGGGATCTTGTACCATCTACTTCCCAGAAAGTTGCACAAAAGCCGTGCAAAACTGCCACTCAACTTGAGTCTATGCCCCAAGCGGTGCCATCAACTGTTCAGCTTTTCTGTTGCGCCCTATACTGCTCCTGCCAGACTTCGTGCTTGGCAGGGGCCAATGGCAAACCTACTCCTTTCGCGCACGCTTCATGCGTGACGGCGTGCCGCCGTTGTAGCCAGTGTGTTCTGTTTCTTCCTCTCTGGTGTTATTTAGAGCACAACGGCCGCAGCGCAGAACTTGCAGCTTTACAAATGTCGGGCCATGTCCCACCACTTTACAACCAAAAAAAAAAACAACCTCATCACATCCGCCAAACTAAATCTTGGGACATGGGGCACCATCGAATTATCTTTGCTTAGTGTGACCCTGTTGATCGTTGAAAATTTGCTCAGCGGCAAGGAATGCAGGCGCGCTTCACGCACCAGCCGTTCCCTCCGAACCACTGCAGACGACGCAGGCAGCGGGCGCCACAGGGGCACGTCAACCTGGGAAATTCTGGGAGATGTCAGACATAATGCGGAATATATAGGGCCGTTTGACCAGCTATTGTATATGGGGATATAACAACGATATGATATAGGGTACCACCAAATTCTGATGGTTGATATCATAAAGGGTATACTCCATGTTGAGACACACCCAAGGTCGACCATCCAAAATATGGAAACTCAACACAAAAACAGGGATTCAAAAATGATTCAACCATCAACAATCAAGATTACAGTGGGAGCATGGGGATGAGAACTAGGCGAGAAGCGCGCGCTCGCGTAGTTGTGATGGATCTATCAATAGCTGGGTTTATGCACCAACTTTTCTAACTGGGGGCCACCACATAACTTATGACCATCAGCCACAAAATCTCGGATTGAATCAAATGAGCACTGACAGCAAAAAGTCAGGAACCCCTATTGACCTATTGTTTTACATCGAAAACAAGGGCTAAACCCTGCCACTTTCCCTTCAACCAATGGATAATCTCTGAGGTTCAGTCACTTGTTTGGCATTGCCCTCCCCTATAAACCTGCACTATCCACTGTTAGTGTGTGGGAGGGCCACGTGAATCATAAGTTGAAATGGTCAGTGAGGAAAACAATAGTTGTCCTATTCCAGGAGTCATGGATCGGCTATACATACTAACTTGTCCGGGAGTCCAGAACTGGTTCAAGGAAAAACGTTTGGGAAACAATACGTTTTTTTGTTTCTTGTTTACTGCTCTTCCCTCAATCCAGCTAGTAGTGGTTGATTGGTGGTTCCAACTAAAAACGTGCTGAGTCTGTTGGAATGTCCATCCAATTCCGCCTCGTTGTTGGTTGATGATGGTTGATGATGGTCGATTCTGGTTAAATTACTGTCAGTCCGATACGCTCATAATGTCTTCCATGACACATAATTGCCAGCTGTCTCCTCATTTGTTGCTTTCACTCATGTTTTCTTCCTGAAATCACAGGAAGTTTTTCCCATGATATCCCGAACTTGGCTAGTGAAATTGGCATAATTGGCATGTTGTGGTCTTCACATCCCTTCGGCATCCTTCGGCCAAGAAACCCGTGACGGCTGGAACTCCTCAATGTCTCCTTGGTGCTGCAGCTACGACAGGCCGCTCCGTCCAGGACGCCGCAGCGGCAGAAAAGCAGCTGACCTCGGGCAGCGAAGCTGGGCCGATGGGCCGATGGGCCGAGGTGAGCCATGAAAGTTAGACCCCGCCCCACGAAAAAAAAACGCTTGGTTAATGGGTTGTGGCCGTCCAGAATATATATATATAATTATATACATATAAACAGTATCAAACAGTAATAAAACGGGTAGTAATAGGGTAGGCAACACCTTTTCTAATCAACGGGGGTAGTTTTAATAACTCAGGTAAGTTTCGTCTATAGAGTCTATAACTAGAGAGATTGGGGGTCAACGCAGTGAACACGAAAACACGGAGGGCAAAAAACGGGGATTCAACCAGGGTCCTAGTTTGCTAAGCTGGTTCGCACCTCCTGTAACTTGGGTTTATGATGAATCTCTCATGATGATATCTCTGCACTTAGGTGGTTTACGTGGACCATATGTACGTATATGTATATCAATGTATGTATATGCCATGGGAGCACCAAAGAAAATCCACCCTGCCCACTATGGGATCTGGTGGGTCGAGTCATTGAGACCCACAATTTGGAGCTGAAATTTCCATCATTTTTGATCCATATTTACCCTCTGGTAAACATACAAAAAACTATGGAAAATCACCATTTTCAATGGGTAAATCCACTATAAATCACCATTTTCAATAGCTATGTTAAATTACCAGAGGGTATTGCAAAAAATGGGTGAAATTGGGGGATATCCCTATCCCTTGCCATTTTCATAGGGAAAACAATGATAAACTATCAAAAATTGGTATGATACCTGTTTTCAGACTCGTATACCAATGTAGAGTTCTGGTATATAGCTGGTTATACTGATGGGGTGATATAACCATGGGGTGATAAATGGCTTTGTCCATACCAGTGGGGACGAGGCTGTCTCATGCGGAATATCCCATGTAATGGCCATTGATGGGAAAAATGATGATACACCATGGGCTTTGGGATGCATTTTGAGACCAGACATACCACATACCCTTGCATGTACTGATTCACAATTGTGGCTCGTGACCTTCCATTTCCCCATAAAGCGGCACCAAAGGGGGTATTTCTATTGATCTCAGACAATTGTTCCGCTAAATTGATATGATTTACCATCTGGTAAACTAACATAGCTATGGAAAATCACCATTTTTAATGGGAAAACTCACTATCATGTTCAATAGCTATGTTAGTTTACCAGAGGGTAATCCACCTGTTAGTGCTTAAATCCCGATGACTTCATTGGGCTTTGACTGAAAATGGGCGTGTCTGCACCCCAAATCTTGATGATTGATCATCATTCCCATAGGATCCATGTATGGTATATATGCTAACATTGGGGGTATATTGATGGGATCCATCTTACCACATATAGCATACATGGATCCTATGGGATTGATCATCATGTTCCCCATTTAAAAACAGTCGTTTTGGTGACATTCTCCACTTTTCAACAGACCCACACGCCATCGATCTGAAAAAAAGTCCCAGTGGCTGTCTCCGGGCACGGAAGCTGCATCCCACTCCTGAATTTGCAGGATCAAAACCCAAACAAAAAATGAATATGTTACTCAGGGATATAGCATGAGTAATTATATGGGGATTGTATGGGGATCACATCAGGAATTTATGGAGAAATCCAGCATCAACAATGGTGATGATATGGGGATATATTCACTATAGCTGGGAAAATTATGTGTACATAGTACATGGTGGATGTTCCATTGCCGCGATGATTTTCAGGTCTCCAATTTTCACAGAATCTATTTTCGGGCTGGTGTAATGTGGTAAACCCACCAACATACAAATTGAGTTTCATTATTTATTTGTGGGCCCTTGCAAGCTTTGCAACACAGAACAAATCTCAACGTTCATAGTTCTACTCCCTACTTTGTTCTTGAGGCCACCTTCTTTGAAGGATCTCTGCTTTCTTATGTACAAATCCACCCTTTTTCTCTCAAAATCACTAATTTTTGCTACTTACATTTCTCCAAATTCTTGGTCGACCATCCAACTTCTCCGAAAATCCAGCAATTTTGTCACACATCACACATCTTTTCCAACTTGCTCCAAAACATATCAAAAAATGTACAGATCTCCCCCACATTCCCAGGCATGACCTGTTCCCCCGCCATCATCGCCAGTAACTCCGCGGCGCTCACGTTGCCGGCAGCATCTGACGCTGCCGGCAGTGCCGGCCGTGTTCCGCGCAGGGCGCAGGAGCTGCAGCTGCAGCTCTGTTGAAGTTGGAAGCCGTTCCTTGGTCAAAAAAATGGGATAGATATAGTGGGAAATTCATGGACCATTCATGATTGATGATGGTTGATAATGGTTGATGATGATTGATGATGGTTGATGATGGTTGATAAATTATGAACCATGAATGGGATTAATAATGATTGATGATGGGTCATTCATGGTTCATAATGCGTGTGATTAATTGTGAATTAATGATTGATTTATTGTAATATATAGTGATTAATGGGAAATGTCACCAATCACAATGACAAGTTATTAAGGGCCAATAGTAGTAATGGTAATGAATCATGAATCATGAACCATTGGTATTGACATACAGTAGCCAGTGTTAACGATTATAAACCCATGGATCAATGTCAATGGAAATAACACATTGTCAATATATGTCAATATTATTCAATATTATATCATCCATTTAAAGAGGCATCTACCAACATTCACGATGGAGCTAAATGGTGCTTGGTTGTTGGATTCAAACGTCATAGTCTCTGTGTATCATCAGGGGTATAGATTGCAGATGTCTGAATAAAGATATGAGCGGCTAGGACCTTAGGATGTTATGCTAGAAATAGATGCATGATGTGTATGTGTGCGTGCCTGCGTCGAGAAATTGGGATTGGTTTGAAGGAAAAACCTTTGGACTCCCAAAAGCTTCAGCACATGACTACTGTGGATGGAAGAAATCCTGCACCAGTTGGTAGATGGTTTATCGATGTTTATCGCATTATGATCCCATTATTATCCCATTATTTACAAGTTTACAATGTGTCATTTTTCATAGTTCCTAAATACTATATAATCTATAATAATTTTAATATGTTCCAACTGGTGCAGGATTTCGCAACAATATGCCATCCCAGCGACTCTTTGCCCAAGTCCGTTTGACAGTCGATGCCACAGGGACAGTGGAGGAAGTTACCAGTTTCCATGGGTTTCATCTCCTGAACGGAAATTGCAATGGATCACAACTTGTCTCATCTTTCTCCCTGCTCAAAACTTCTGGCAATGCTGATCCCGTGTTGTTCTCCTCGGTTCCTTCCCTTTCTTTCTCTGTTTCTTCCCAGCCTGTCATGTTTTCTTTCTTTCAAGCACTATGCAGGCCGTTTTTCCCTCCCCCAGCACCAGTCTCACAGCAGTTCCCAGCACCGACTCCAGTTCCCCGCCTTGGTCGCAGTCACGTTCGGAAGGGCGCCAGTGACACCAGCATCAGCAGAGCTCAGGGCCATCAATCCCAACAGCACTTTCAAGGCCATGATGAGCGGATCAAACGGACCAAGATGAGTTCTTACTGCGAGCCACAATACAAACTGCAACGAAAGAAACTGCTGGAATCGGTAAGATGGATGGTAAATTAGTATATATAACTGCAGATCTACTTTGACAAAGTTGCAAGCAAACGGATAGTATAACTGTCTAATTTGACATTAAAATGACTAATGTGATAAACCCAAAGCCATAAACCATCCCAATATTCAACTTAAATGGTTGGGATTTATCCCCAAATGGTATCTGCTGGGATCTCCGACGCCCCCGGCCACCATACGCCTGGGAAAACCGAGGCAAAAAGTGGTGGTAGCTGCAGATAGGAAAGACGCATCAGTGAGGTGTAAATAAAACACAACAACTGACTATTGATTCATTGGGCATGTGATGAATGATTTCTTCATTTAGAAAAAAAGCAGATGTAAAACAGATGGAAAATATGGGGGTTCCATATATGGTGGTACCCAAATATTTATTTCATGGAAAATCCGAAAATAACATGGATGATAACTGGGGATACGTCCATGACTTAGGACTCACCTTTCTGGGCTCTCCTGCTCAGAAAAAAAATGGCTATGATTGAGGAATTGTCTATTTGCCTCCCATCACTTCTGGGAGAATAGAAAGAGAAAATAGAAGGACAAAAAGGAAGACATTCGCGGGAGAAAATCGGGAGAGACATGGCAGAAGACAAAGGGGAGAAAATAGAAGAGAAAATAGAAGGAGAAACTAGGGAGACAACAAAGACAGAGATAATAGGGAGAAGGGGGATGGCAGGAAATTGGAACACAGGGAGCAAACAGAAGGAGAACTAGTAGGAGCAACTAGGTATAAAATAGTGGCGGGAGGAAAAAGGAAGAACATGGGGAGAAAAATTCGAGAGAACATTGGGAGAAAGTAGCGGGAGAAAATAGAAGAACACATGAAAGGAAAAAAATAAGGATGAGGAGAACAAATTGGGAAAAGACGGCGGGAGAAAATAGTTTCAGAATAGATGGGTGTGTCTGAAAATGGGGTACCCCAAGATCGCTTGATGATCAATTTCCCAACTAAACCACAAAAATGGAGTACCTATAAATTGGGACAAACCCAGATGTACATGGAGAGTGCAAAACATAGCGCTGGAGTGTCTGCATCTGTGCCCTGTCTCAGGTTGGGCTCCCGTACTGCAGAGGCACATTGGGCATGTTGGCATAAGTGAGGCAAATCACCACTACAGCCTTGATCATCCAGATCCCTCACGTAAGGTGAAAAAACCATCCCATACCAATCTTTCCAAATGTGATAAATAGATTCATTTACGGAAATTATGTCGTGATTTGATTGAAAAAAACATAGCCTTTCCTATTGATATTGGCTTATAAGCTTATAATATGTTTGAACCATTCTACTAACAATGACCTTTTCTTGCTCTGGCACTTGCTCCCCGTGGCTGGCTACACATGGTGTGCACTGTTGAAACGTCCAATCTGCACCTCGGCAAAACATCTTGTTTGAAAAAGGCAGTCATGCCATGTTCAATTGCTGAACATGAATTTAAGGTTAAATCCCCAGTTTTGATGCTTAAATCATGTCATTCCCGAGAGCGTCTGAGCGCAGGGTTCTTCCAATAGTGGGGGTCTGTAAAACATCTTCTCATCTTCACATCTCTCACATCTGCTCATCTTCACATCTTCTCTCACATCTTCTCTCACATCTGCTCATCTTCACATCTGCTCATCTTCACATCTGCTCATCTTCACATCTTCTCTCACATCTGCTCATCTTCACATCTTCTCTCACATCTGCTCATCTTCACATCTGCTCATGTCCACATCTTCTCTCACATCTGCTCATCTTCACATCTGCTCATCTTCACATCTGCTCATCTTCACACCTTCTCTCACATCTTCTCATCTTCACATCTGCTCATCTTCACATCTTCTCTCACATCTCTCTCACATCTTCTCTCACATCTGCTCATCTTCACATCTTCTCTCACATCTTCTCTTACATATTCTCTCACATCTTCTCTCACATCTTCTCTCACATCTGCTCATCTTCACATCTTCTCTCACATCTTCTCTCACATCTGCTCATCTTCAAATCTTCTCTCACATCTGCTCATCTTCACATCTTCTCTCACATCTTCTCTCACATCTTCTGCTCATCGTTCTTTACATGAGGAAAAATTGCGATTTTACTTGTCCCCGAGCAACCCTTTCGCACGAAATGAGGGCCGATCGTCAAAAACTGAGGAAAAATTGCGATTTTACTTGTCCTGGAGCAACCCTTTCGCACGAAATGAGGGTCGATTTCGTCAAAAACTGAGGAAAAATTGCGATTTCTAACCCTTTCGCACGAAATGAGGGTCGATGCGCAAAAAGTGAAAAAAATTGCGATTTTACTTGTCCTGGAGCAACCCTTTCGCACGAAATGAGGGTCGATCGTCAAAAACTGAGGAAAAATTGCGATTTTACTTGCCCCCGGAGCAACCCTTTCGCACGAAATGAGGGTCGATTGTCAAAAACTGAGGAAAAAATTGCGATTTTACTTGTGCCGGACTTGTCTGTGTGTAAAAGCGTCTGTGTGTAAAAGCGTCTGTGTGTAAAAGCGTCTGTGTGTAAAAGCGTCTGTGTGTAAAAGCTTCTGTGTGTAAAAGCTCTGTGTGTAAAAGCGTCTGTGTGTCAAAGCGTCTGTGTGTAAAAGCCTCTTTGTGTAAAAGCCTCTGTGTGTAAAAGCCTCTTTGTGTAAAAGCCTCTGTGTGTCAAAGCGTCTGTGTGTCAAAGCATCTGTGTGTCAAAGCGTCTGTGCGTAAAAGCATCTGTGTGTAAAAGCGTCTGTGTGTAAAAGCGTCTGTGTGTAAAAGTGTTTGTGTGTAAAAGCCTCTGTGTGTAAACGGGTCTGTGTGTCAAAGCGTCTGTGTGTAAAAGCGTCTGTGTGTAAAAGTGTTTGTGTGTAAAAGTGTTTGTGTGTAAAAACGTCTGTGTGTAAAAGTCTCTGTGTGTAAAAGCGTCTGTGTGTAAAAGAGCCTGTGTGTAAAAAGCGTCTGTGTGTAAAAGCGTCTGTGTGCAAAAGCGTCTGTGTGCAAAAGCGTGTGTGTGTAAAAGCCTCTGTGTGTAAAAGCGTCTGTGTGTAAAAGCGTCTGTGTGTGTAAAAGTCTCTGTGTGTAAAAGTGTTTGGGTGTTAAAGTCTCTGTATGCAAAATCGTCTGTGTGTAAAAGTCTCTGTGTGTAAAAGTGTTTGGGTGTAAAAGTCTCTGTGTGCAAAATCGTCTGTGTGTAAAAGCGTCTGTGTGTAAAAGTCTCTGTGTGCAAAAGCGTCTGTCTGTAAAAAGTTCTGTGTATGAAAAACTTTACAAAAATACAATGCAAACTATTGTCTTGTACTAGTCATATATTGTCTTGATACTACTCTTCTCGTCTGCCTATAATACATCTTTATCATATTATCTTGTAATATAGTGTCTCCATACTAACAACAGAAGACTCTGCTCCTCTACGCTCTCGGGCCATCCGTCGTCTAGTTTTTCCATTCAAATCCCAAAAAAAAACACCATACAATACCATAAAACTCGTCTGCTGGGTGACGCCTATTCCTGCTTGTCTTCCAGTTGCTTTAGGGTGCCCGAGGAGTCTTCAACACTCGCAACCTGGCGCTAAAAATCGCCAAGCGGCAATGTACCACATCTGCTTGACCACTGCCATCAAAGCGCCCGCCTCTAAGCTTGGCGAGGTAGGAGAAAGATGACTGGTTGGTGGTTTTAACATTAATGGGAAGAATTATCCCATATATTATGGAAAATAAAAGCCATGTTCCAAACCACCAACCAGATGAGAAAAGATGAGAACAGGAGATTTTTGGATTTCACAGGATTTCGACAAGATTTCACATGGTGAAACCACCGTATGGGCTGCCTTGATCATCAAAAAAACCTCTGGGAGTTGCCAGCAAGAGATGGTGGTTTGACAATCAACAAATTAAGGTTTTGCCATCAACATATAGTGGCTCAATGATGACAACATCCGGACATAGTCATGAAAAACTGGGGGAGGGGTTTGGCCACCAGATATGGTGACTTATCAGCAGTCACCATGTTGAGGCATCACATACGGATTTGACCTTCGAAGATCCCCACGGTTGTTTCGACCCCACGAACCACAGTATGGTTCCTGTTTGTGGGTCGACCCTTTGAAATCTAAGAATAACCTACCCTGTTTTAGGTCAGATCATGGCAAGGCCAACAAAAAATTGTAAAAATAAAAATACACCGCCGACCATCGCTCTGTGTTTCTCGCCCTGTCTCAAATCTAACGAGATTTCACACACAAATGGGAACTCGATGCAGTGTACAAAACACATCCAGTACCGTCCACCACCCTCTCTGGGCTTCGTCAGAAATCAAAAACCCATTTACCAGTTGGATTCTCCAGTATCCAAGTGTTGGTGAATATACCTTTTTTGATGGCTTACCCTTATTTTTGACCCACAACGAAAAAAAAACATACCCATATAGTGAAAAATAGTGACTAGTGGTAATATCCACATATTTACCCACGATTTTTACACTCTGCATATTCTTGCTGGGGAACTTCACCATGTTTGGTCACTGGGCTGTCCGGGCTGCAATCAGCAGTGCTGCAAAGGGGATCAGCCTTCGACCGTGCGAAACATGCGTGAATTCTCGTCGGCTGTGGGTCAGGGGTACATGATATCTGCCAAACTCTGGAGCTTTTACTGTACTACTTGCAATGAACTGTCATAAAATTCTACAATCTGTTTTTTTTACCCTCGAAATCTTTATTAGTGGCTTTGCCACTTGACAGCGATATTCTGGTTGAACAAAAAATAATTCACCAAACCTTTCAAGTTTGGCGAAGTGTTTCACCAATTTCAAAATTCATTCACCAATTTCAGAGAACCCAAAAATAATTCACCAAGATATTGAGCTCTTTATCTCCATCATGTTTGGTGTCCAGTGAGATTTTTTCTGGGCCATCTTTTCTTTGGGGCTCCACACGTCCGCAAGAGCTTCAAGGGCCCAGCCCTGGTGTGTCATGCCCAAAAACTACGGCGATAAAATACATCAACAGGTTTTGAATATATGCTGTATCTGTTGATATCTGTTGATATCTGTTGATATCTGTTGATATCTGTTGATATCTGTTGCCTATTGTATTCCACTGATTCATCATAACTCATCTACAAATGCATGCGCATTTGGGTATGGTGGATATCCTCTGGTGGGACAGGTCCGAGGGCAAAAAACAAGAGTGACTGACCACTTGGCTACCTTCACTGACCTTTCCTACACACAAGCTATACCCCAGGCTTTCTGTTTATAGCATTTTATAGCTTCTACATCCACATCCAGGCCATCCAGGCGCCGTGCTGTTTGGCAACATACCTCAGGTAGAAATCCGTTGATGATCAAAAAGAATCCCCGTGAAAGAGAACTAACATGAATTTATGCATCTACAAATCAGAACAGTGGGAAAAGAATGGAAACCATATTGAAACCATATTGTGGAGTATTGCTTAGCAAGCCAAGTTGTCTCCGGCAGAAACAAAGGAGAGGGCTCCCCATGGTTGTCCAAAATGCACACCACCATGTCTTGGCTTTTGGGGGAGTAAATAAAACAACAGTACCCATGTTGGAGCCTGGATGAGTCTTCCTTCTCTGGATGGCATGTGCCACAAAATGAATGGATCTGGTACCACACCCGGGTTTTTATAGGGAGGTAGTCCATATTGGGCTTATCAAGGGATCAGATTATCGACAAACCACTTCCAAAAAGGTGGGGATCAGTTGGCACCAAGCCACCCAGTGATCAAATTGCCTGGGATCGCCATGATCTGTCCTGATCGCAGTGGGAAACCCATCTAAACCGTCCATGGTCGAATAGATACCCCATGGGTCCCTTCACCTCGTACATCTTGGTTTCATTCCATCCAAAATGGCGCCAGAGCTGTGAAATCAAATCGTCTGGCGGAGCCCCTGGCCTGGAAGCATGGAATAGACGCTCACCATCACCTCAGGTTTTGGAACCTGGAAAAATCATGACCCGCAACCAGTGCTACAGCCACCAGCTCACTGATCTCACTGCAAGCGCGGGACAACTTTCGCAGGATCCGGATGTTCGAAGAGGCCCAGGGATTGATTGAAGAATTGTCCGCCGATGTCGGACCTCAGCTGGAGCTGGAAGATACAAATGAAGCAACTGCCCAAAATCAAAAAACAATGAAAAATGGTGGATAATTATGGGATAATCCTGGCCAAAACCTGTCAACAGTTCAACCAACTTATGAAAAGGAGACGCTGGGGAACCTTCAAAGTAAAGTTGTTAAGCACTTACCAACTGGTATGCGCATCCAAGTGGTAAACACATGTAAACACAGCATCAGCTGCGGCTAAGGTACACCAAATTTCCACCAAAGGCCAGCAAGAAAGCGCAGAGGCCTTGAAAGCTGATTGACTGATCTCACCCAAAGCCCTCGCCAGACCCACAATCCCAACTTGTCCTCAGGTCCAATGAAAAATGCGGGACAAACAGTGAAAGATTGGGTTTACAAATAAATATGAACTAATTGTGTATATGAAGATGTATATTGTATAAAGATTTGATAAAACAAGATCCAGGGTCCAAAAGGTCCAATTTCTTGCTTCATCGGTTTGTATGGTCTGATGCTGGCTCCCCGGCAGAGCCGTCGCAAGCGTCGATGCCCAAAAGCCTGGTTTCCCCATGTTGGGAACCCCCAAATCATCCAAGCTATTGGCAATGTTGAAAGGGGGCCACTATTTTTAGGAACCCCCTATCGAGATATAGGTATTTGTTGTAGAATTCATGATCTGCTTGAAAAAGGTATAGAAATATATCTACATATATCTACTATTTTTTTGACAAAATGTGCGAAAAGAAATGTGGGTCTCAATGGTCTCGGTCTCAAACTAACCGGTACCCATTATAAATCTCTGTGGATATGATATGGCAGGGTATCTTGGTACGACTAGGAGAGAGCTTTTTTCAAACGCTGCGAAAAGTATTAGTCAGTTGGGATAATCTTCCCATGATAGGCTTGGACAATGTTTGAAACCACCACTTCGTTCCCATCAATACAACTTATCTAACTTATCTAATTTATCTAACTTATCTAACTTATCTAACTTATCTAACTTATCTAACTTATCTAACTTATCTAACTTATCTAACTTATCTACATCACCGGCCAACCCCTCTCCATGCCAGGCAGCCAAAAAGAATGGCTGTACCAGGCCTCTCACATTGACAGCGGACTTGCACAATGGCTTGGATTTAGCTTTGGATTTAGCCCACCCGGCAATGAGGAATCATGACGAATCCTAATGTTCAAATTCAAAATGGGGATTCCTTATGAAATCATATGAAATCTGGTCAATTCATCTACAGTCTTGCGTGATTTTCCATCACCACGTCTGCCAGAGAGCACCGGATTGAAGATGGGGATATCGCCCGAAAACACTGAATATGATCTGCTGATTGTGTTGCTTGCATGCATATTGGTATTACAATTCACATCATGGTGCAGGTACAACATAAAATATGTGTGGTATGGGTAGAAGCATGTTGAACTGAGACCAATTCAAGTAGTTTTGGGTCCATTTCAATTGCTTTACGGAAAATCTACAGGGAGTACCCCGAGGCTGGTCCCCAATCATATGTACACCATCAATGGCTATGGTGAGGTCGACCATCACCCAGGGAAATCATGGTAAATCCATATATGTAGAATATATATATATATATATATGGTTTAAACCATGTTTATCATTGTTTATCCATATTATGTAGATATATGTTTTTTGCAAATCCATGTAAACTTTCCCACTTTTCATGGCAAAAAATAACCAACCTGGCCCACCCAACTGAGCCTCTCAGGAGTCCGGTGATCCCATGCCTGGGCCACAGAACCATTGAGTAATGGTGATTTATCCTGGGAATATCATGGGAAATGCTATAAATGGCTTTAAATCACCATTTTAGTATCATGAATATCTATATATAAATCTAAATCACCATTTTTTTGTATCATTAGAAATTCTATGATATTCAATGATAATCAAGAAATTTATGGGAATATCGTGGGAAATTATCACCAATGGGAAAGATAAGATGATCAACCATTCATGATTATGGGGCACCACATTTTTTAATATACCCACTTGGGAATTGATGGTTGAACGAAGCAAGCTTTTCACCTATTTAGATGCCCCATTTAGGGAATATTAGACCATCAAGGGCCGTTGAAGCATCCGATTTGCCCTTATCAAGAAATACTAGCCCTTAGACGCTCTAAAAGAAAACGGCCGGCTAGTCTATGTTACCATTTGTATGGCGGGCCAAGATTTGCCTCCTGGCGGACAGGCGAACGAGAAAAGGGTGGCAGGTGCTATTTGGCCACCATAATCGGTGACGTCCGTTGGGGGGTGACTAACAAAAAATGTGATTTGACTGGCAAAAAACATGGAAATCACCAGCTAAAAAAGTGCATTTAACATCATTTGACAAACAGTGGATTAGACGAAATATAATATTAAGACTTCACTATTCTGATGAGTGTCTAATGAGCAACAAAGAACGTGTCAAAATGTCGCTAATACACACGGAGACGTGGGTAGTCCAAACTCTGGTAAGCTGGCGCTCACATCCCAAACGTGGTGCCACTCATGCAGATTTCTTGGATGTAAACTACCAGCCACTACCCTCTGGTAAACTGTCACATAACTATGGAAAATCACCATTGTTCATGGGAAAATACACTATTTCTATGGCCATTTTCAACAGCTATGTTAAACTACCAGCCACTACCCATTCTGGGGGTTCAAGTTGAAGCTTAATCGGTTCGACCATCTAAAGAGCTGATCAAGTCGCGCTGCGGGCTGACCCAATAAATTTTGACCCATTCCCAGTCATTCCAAGAGTTTTTTTAATGATTGAAGTTAGGTAATGTTAAATAATGTTAAAAATATCTTAAATAATGTTAAAAATATCTTAAATAATGTTTAAAATATCTTAAATAATGTTAAAAATATCTTAATTAATGTTTAAAATATCTTAAATAATGTTTAAAATATCTTAATCTTATATAAATACCTCTTTAATGATTAAATACCTCCACCTTTTCTGATGTTTGGAAGCTTGACCCTCACATGTTGACGATATTTGACGATGCATTTTTCCCACATGTTTCCAAGATTTCATGGTTTGATCCAAGGGACCGGAAGTCTTGCCTCGCCGGAGGTTCACCTCATCGAACCATGGGAAAACGCACAAATGATGTGAAAATTGCCATTTGGCATTTGAGTGTGGGGAAAATATTCGGAAAATATGGGAACTTGATGGTAAAAAAAAACATGAATTTGGGGTGTATATATAGCGTATACATCCGTATACCGTATACCGCTTGGTTAATCATCACTTGTCTTTGGAGGATGCACCAAGAGCATGCAGGTCCCTGTCATGTTGCATGAAAACCAGCTCTGTGAACCCAACCTTTAAATCTAGATCAAGATGTCACCTGGAATCAGGGGGTTCACTCAGAAGAAATGGGCATTTCCGGACTGTGGGGTCCAAAAAGTTGCTTCAAGAAACTTCACCAGTTAGAACCAGCAACCAAGGGTTGTGCATTCTATCATGTGATAACGATCTGGTGCCTCCTAATTAGTTCTAAGTTGGCGTATTAACCCATGTCTCTAACATTCTATGACTATATTATATAGAAATATATAGAATAAATGATCAGAAACCGTCTTAGAGCAAATATAGTTAACCCATGTTAACCCAGTTATGAGAATAACCATATTCAACCAAGCTGGCCAACAAACCGGGGCACCACCTTGCAGATCTGCGGCGCTTAACCACAACTTCTCGCGGACTCCGAGGCTCCAAGCTTTCCGAAACGTCTCCGTTCTCGCTGCCGTTCTCGGCGAACCACCTCGCTACGGAAATGGCACGGTACCCTGGTGAAAGTCAGAGAAATTGGTGAACGGAATTGGTGCTGTTAGGATATGGCAGCACCAATTCATCATGGGTTGTGCCATAATGTGCCATATTCATCAGCGATCTTAAAGTTGTTGACGAGTTCCCCCCATCGTTTCCCTGTGTTTCATTGAAAAAAAAACAACTGAATCTTCTTGGTTGCATCCGCGTGCTTCCGATATTGCATGATCAGTCGCGCTACTCATGCTATCCTAGTTGGCAAGTCCTCTCAAAGGGAGGGAATGAGACATTTGGTTCCCAGTTTGTAAGGGCCTGTTGCTATGGGTGAGGTGTTGTCTTTCAAGCCGCTTGGCTCGCAGCATATTGATGGGAGGGCTCAACTCATTCAACTCTCTCCAAGTCCTCGTTTTTTTGATATGTCCTTTGCTCTGTTTTCTCTAGTGAGTTCAAGCATACGGGGACTGACTACCTTACCACCATATGCCACCGTGGTTCGATGGTTCATCAAACCCGGGACGCCACACATCTCGTTGTCATGGTGGTCCTCCTTTTCCTTCTCCGCCTCCATGGGACGATGGTCACCCTTTTGGGGATCCCCGTCGGGAAGCGATGCGGAATTCAGCCAGACGTCGGGAAAATTGAAAATTACGATTCTGATTTGATCAAAAGATCATAGTGGGATTGAAACCGATGGCTTTGGGTCAAAATGAAACAGTACCCTGTTTTCGCAGCAAGAAAAACCGGGTGCTCATAGATGTTCATCCATATATTGACCTATCCCCAAGGTTGCCTTTACCTGAGTCAATCCTTCTGGGGTGGGCTTATCGAAGAGATATGTAGGCAGACTTCTGACAAAGAGTCACAGACCTTCCGCATCTCACCCATCCTGAAGACTCACATACAACCCTGACAAAAGGACTCCGGAAGATGATTTTATTGCTGGAATATGCCATGTTTGTTTGGTTTCATATGAGTTCTCTGGCCTTCACAGTACAGAGAATGAGAAAGAACACCACAGAGCCCACTCAGCGGTGCGTGGCCACATGGGCCCAAATCTATGGGAAAGCTTTGCAGTAGGCTTTGGGCACCCAACACCTGGAATACCTGGACTCATACTGAAAGATAGTAGGTGGCATTGAAATTGTGAGTTTTCAGCCCCCTACTGTATCATTTGGAACACATCATGCCAACAAAACTCCACATCAAAGCATTGCACTACCCATTTCGTTTCGGATCTGTTCAGGCTCCCACAGGTTTGGACGCAGATGATGAGGTCCGGATTGTTCTCAATGACTTTGAACACCATGATCAACAACACCTCATGCAGCGCTATGCGGATACGCTGCGGCCAGGCCAACGGGGAACAACGGACTGAGCCGCCCGGACGGGGATCGAAATGCATACCACATTCCTGGCGATGAAAATTGGGATGCACTGTTTGGACATGGTTGGACCCACCAAGATTGGTCCTTAAATGTCACATAGTGGAGATGGGTACCTATAGGACCATCTCCACGGAGATCAACACCATTGCGAGGTCTTCACCGGGCTAGCAGCATGTTGACCCCCGAAAGTAGACACCCATCATCCCGATCAAGTTGGACCAGCACCAGGAGATAGGTAGTTACGGGTAGTTGGTTCACATCATGAAAATTCAAAGTAATGGTAAATTGCTGCTCTGAGCCCATTCCTTGCTGCTTCTTTGCCCACACACTTGATACACACTGCCCCAAAACATCGACCCATTGATGATACCCCAGCCTGCTACAGAGGGGGGGGGCCAAAACGATGACAATTCGAATTCTACATGGCACAGTACCCCAGTCGGGTCCAAAGGGTAGAGAAGTGCAAATTCGTCCCTTCTCACTCAACTGAGAGATGGTCGGCTTTCAAAACGAGAGACAATAGTAATGCCCAATCAAATCAATCAGAAAATGCGTCCGTACACCATCTTACAATCACCATTTTTATGGTCAGGTCGGCCAGTATTTCCAATTGCCCATGTCGGCCATTCTCACCGAAGCGGCATGAGGCAATTGAAGGCGAAGAAAGCACCCGCCATCAATTCCCGGTCCGCGCTATTGGTCACCTCATCGCATACCCATTTGGGGATGGGTTGAAACATACCCAAAATGCTGATTCTGGGGAATGTTTCTGGCATTGGGTTTACCATGTTTACCACATTATGGGATTCTAGAGGCCATTTCTCGCATTTTATCATTTGTCATATATCAAGGGACCACAAAAATAAATCTAACCAGGTTTCTCAATCCAGGGTTGACATTACAAGTGTAGGACAATTACACTTGTATGTGGATCGAAATTAACAGAACCACAGATTCTGGTCGTTCTTCCTCTTCAGTCATCCAACTTGGAGGGGCAGTAATTCTGAGCCACAGCCACACGCTGCAAAATTTGGAACCCGCCAAGACCCTTCAAACGGCTCTATTTGAACAAGAAACCAAGGCAGGGCTGTCGGGGGTGTATTCAATGTTTGGACCCATATAAACAGATATATGATGATATACGGGTATCTCTACATCTCATGCCGGCAAAACGACCCATGCCCATGTGGTGTAGGATCTCATCAATTCAATCCGTACCAGTGGGTTGCTGGGTTGGTTGCTTTGAGACCAGCCACCAAGAATTGAATGTGGATTGAAACATTCCAAAACAACAACATAAGAATATGACGCCCCAATTCTTGGGTGGGTTTATCCAAAGAACCCAAGACAGAGAACAGCATGGAAGTCCAGCAAAACCCAACAAACCTTTCCTTGGTCAATTTATGATGCCGAACCTCCTAAGACACCAAGCCCTGAGTTTCGGACGTCAGTGGCCATCGTAAACATCACCTTGGCGCGGATGGATTGCAGCAACCAACTGGGGGATGTAAGTCAATTTCTTGATGCACCGTTAGGAATCATGTAAACACCAATAACAATTTGATAAACCACTATCCTTCATCACTGGTCTAGATTGAGTCTAGATCTGCGAACTTTATGCAGCTGGCCACCAATATTCTTGCAACACTCCACCATACTTCTGACTTTTGGCTGATTCAACACATGGAAAAGGACAAAAAGAACATGATGAAACCTACCAAATGGCAATCTGACTTGGCAATGGATAATGCCCTACAAATATTCATCTATGGATTTTTGATGAAAGTTTGTACAGTACTTTCCGAATCAACCGTGTTTGACTTTTGGAAAGTACCCTATTCAGGTTTTCAGGGCGTCTCTTTGCAAAGCGACAAAGTGACAATGTGAGTTACATGGATAATATACTTGGCCAACTGATTCCCAGTACATGGATGGAACATAGATAATGGGTGAATTTTAATTTGATCTAATTTGTATGTCCATGTCTAGATGTGCTTTTTCCACTTGTTTCCTCGAATTGTACCTATTCACAGTTTATATATTTTAATTTTTCATAATTTTTCCCAGTAAAAATATGGAGGATTTCCCAACAACCCATGTTTTGGAGGGGGGTCATGGACCACATGTTTTCTTAGGCGCCCGACGTTGCTGGTGAGTCCGAAGGAGCCAATGATCTGAGCCTCGAAAGGCTAGACATACAGCGAGACCCAAGTACCTATGAAAATGGTTAAACAAGGTTAAACATACTAAAATGATGGGGTATATATACCCACTATTATGCGTACTTGGAGGGTCTATACATTGTTATTTAATTGTTATTTATATATATATATAGAGAGAGAGATACTTATTGTGTGTAATCATATAGAAAGAGAGATGCATACATACAAAAACGTATAATTGCATGTATATGAAACAAATATGTACAAATATATGGAATGGGCTAGCTAGTAGCTTTAAAATAGAAGATACAGCAAGCATTTGCTAACCACGGCAGTGTCAGCTCTTCAGCCCAAGGTACTACCGTGCTGAGCCACAGTCCACTGGCGGTCTCACCAAAAATCTGCAAGGTCCTCAGCAACGTCGTGGATGGTGACCCTGGTGGATCCGCATCGAAGGTCAGTTCTGTGTCCCCAAAAAATCAACGGCCAAAAAGTGCTGGTTTTAGGGTTCCAAAATCAGAAACATCCAGAAACACATAGAAACACCTGTTCACCTGAAATTTGTACCAGGTAGTTGTCGATGCTCCATCCACATGGCGTGGTGTCGAAGTGCGATGAGTCCCCGCTGCATGGTGATGGATGTGCCTCCCGATTTCTTTACTTTCCTTGCCCTTCGATTTTGGATTCATAGGGATGTTGGGTCAAGTCAGTCGATGTGTAATGCCCATACTGTCGCCCCAGGGGCCAACCACTGGTTGTGACTGGTTGAGACACATCAAAACTTCAGATTAAGAAAGAAAAACCATTCCTTGATGGTCCAGGCGCTTGGGCTTGGTACCATTGGTGCCCTTGATACATCATGATACTCGATGTGTCGATGAACCCATCTTTGTCCAGCAAACTGGGACTAACCCCCTTTGGAAAGTCCATTTCCAATCATAAAATTGCCCTATATAAATAAAGAAATGGGAAATTCTATAAAGAAATGGGAAATTCTATCGAGAATATGAACCACTCTTTAAAATCATTATCCTGGAGAAGGTCAATTGCATCCACAAAGAAACCGACCGAACAATGACCCTTTGCCGCTGTGAAAAGCCCAGAAAAGCCCAGAAAAGCCGCAGGAAACCTTGGGCTCCCGACCACCCAGGTAAGAAGGTGCCAGCCGCAAAGAGCCCCACCGCTATCTTGGCGCAGAGAAATCCAACCCCAATGACTTTGAGGTGATCTACGGCATTTGGGGCCCCAGACTCGGCGATCTACGGCATCACTAAACCTGCGGAGAAAGCCAGAGAAAGGCATCAATCATAGGATTCAATAGGATACTTAAGGTATGAGTATGATATTGCATGATTCTGCCCTAACCCACCATGTCCCCGCACAAGAATAGGGAAAACACACAGCTGCTAAGTGGTGCCGAACTAGTATTGGTGTGTTTGATAGATGATGAGTTACCATCTACTATTGGCTGGGTTTTTCCACATATATATATATATATCACCATATATCACCACTATAACCCAGCGACCAGCCCATGTTTTTCTTGATTGGCTCAACCATCAATTCTTGACTCCTTACCTGCCCAGGTAAGTTGCTTGTGTGCTAGTCCCCATGAATCCTGAGTTGAGCAACAATCAATTGATACCCGCGTGTATGCCTATATCTTCGCCATATTAGAATGTGTTATGCCTGTTACTAACTATCAATGCGGGGTTGTCTCAATTCCATCCTAAGCCTTTTCTCAGCCTGCCAAAGGGCCCACCGAAGATCACAGCCACAGCACCTCAGGGAGCTGACCATGGTGCCCACTGAGCCATGAAAGCAATAATTACCATCCAGGAGATTTTACTGATTGTATAATGCGTTTCCCTATGGGTTGTCATAATCATAATCCCTGATGGCTCAACCAACATCACCATCGTCCACAAACATTTCTGGCAAATTGACGATCATCATCACCTTTGGGAAAGGGTTACCACTGACGCACCACATCAACGGGCCATCAACGGGCTTACACCGATCCCAAATTCATGGAGTCCCAATTCTGATCTGGAAGATGATTTGTTATACCCTCTGGTAAACTAACATAACTATGGAAAATCACCACTTTTCATGGGAAAACTCACTATAAATGGTGATTTTCCATAGTTATGCTAAATTACCAGAGGGTATATTTTTTGGTACTTGGATATTGCATGACATGGCGACATTTCATGTGACTTTCACGTTAGTCCAAGCGGCTGATCAAAATGCTCGCGATGGATTGGTACTCCGACCTTGGTGAAATGGATTTACTCATTTGGGGAGTGCAAATTACCAAGGGAAATCTATATTATATATATATATTTGTGGAACCCCCCTTTTTTTGATAAACTGGGAAATTTTACTAATCCTAGGTTGATATTACTGAATTTGGAGGTAACCAACATGTGTATGAGGTCTATGTGAGGGAACTTTCCTCCGAACATTCTTTAATATGACCTCAAGAATGGCACTGTACATCCACGGTAAGGCCCGGTAAGGCACCTCAATGGGCCATTGAACCAATGGGAAAAATGTCATCTGAGCCGCAACTGTGTTTGAATGAAATGGGAGTGTTTCATGGGTTTGGGGGAAAAAAATGGGATGTTCGTCAACCATGGAAGCATGATGGGAATTTGGAAAACATGGATAAACTCAACTACATTCAATCTGGCCCAGTACTGTGAACATAACATGAGCCTTGCCAATTATGGTCTGGACCAAGAATGTTGACTGTTGGCCTGTTTCAGCATGGAAACAACAGCTTCAGACCCTTCTCCATTTGGAGTAGACTCCTAGAGCCACACAATCTAATCTTGACATGGAACCCATACAAAAATAAACATGTTTCTCAAAATAAATGCAACACTAGACTAATCCATCAAGACTAAAGTTTCGAAGATTGAAACTTTCGAAACATCCCCCATCGATTGATCCCCTCGGCTAAAGGCACCGATTGAAATGAGGGCCGGACATTTGCTCACCCCAGTACTGGACTCTCAAGTTGGAGAACACAAAGGTTGCCGCCAAATCTGCGGTCCGGTGCAGGGGAAGGCTTTCTATCCCGTACTTTTTGGATTGATGGTTCCAGGTTTGTTTGCGTGAGAACACATGGGTTTCGAGACTGATTGGCATCAACGGTTGGTGAGTTGGAGCTCGAATCCTTCCCGCTTCTGGGGAGCCGGCTACAGTTTCCTTGCTGGAATCCTGCCAAGAATAAAACCTGACCGTGCAGGAACCCAGGAACCTGGAGAACCAACAATGTCCAGCCCATTTTGATGAGTCATGATGGCACACACTCTCACTTCGCTATCGGCAAAACCAAAAAAAACATCCGCTGGTGTTTTATCACCCAGCCCCCCAATGGATCAATGGCAGGCCGCACCTTCATCAGCTGAGGGTTCCTGAAGTGGGAGCCAAATTGCTTGAGATGCCTCTTTCATGACTTTAGACATACATTGAAATACCCAGAAAAGAACCAATCATGACACAAATCACCTCGAAACAGGTTGATGTCTTACTTTGAGGATCTTTGAGGATCAAAATATGATCCTCCCCTGAATCTCCCTGGCCTCTTGAACATGCGAATATTGGAAGCGATCAAACCCGACTCCGACTCTTCCCCAGTCTCATTGGACCTCAGAATGCTGGGTCCAATGCTTCAGCTCCCAGTTTTTGGATCCCATCATTGTCGCTAAATGATGTTAAATGTCCCTGGTTATCGGTCAACCAACGATCCGGATGATCCAGCTAATGCAAAACAAACTCTAACATGACTTAGTTTTGGCGGTGTTGCCAATAAATATTTGCCTTTATTTGCCTTTCAAGCGCCTACAGTATTTAACTTTTTAAGAAATCCAAAACGTTGTCACAGTCAAAGCTAGCAATAGCTAGATGGTCCACTGGTTGAAAAACAATGTGTCTGTTAAGCAGAAATGTATACAAATGTGAGATAGCCAGGGTGACGATTGCTGAACTCCATGGGATCTCAACACATCACGGGAATCGACTCATAAAACGGCTGCGGGATCGATAAATTAGACTTAGAGAGCCTCCTGAAAAAATGCCGATCTTGGGTCAGTTGATGTTCTATCTGCGCGGAGTTCGAAACTCATATATTGGGGTTATGGGGACATGACGCCTTAATTGTCAGATAGCAAGGCCGAAACCACGCCTTGAAACCAGATTCTGTCGAAAATCCGATCAAGAAGCTCATCTTTGACATGTTATACAGCCTTTCACCAATAGTCCGATAGCATATTTCTATATGATATTATGTGTACAATATATATATATATATATTTACATAATAATATTTACATATATTTACATATATTTACATATCATATAATATGTATATATTATACATACTAGTATATGTAAAAACTGCATACAAATCCAAGTTCAGCTGATTTTTTTCAAACGGCTCGAGGTCCTCACTGGCCTTCATCTCCAGTTTCCTACGGAAAGCAAAACAAGGTCGGGGAAGCGACATTATGGCAATTCTGCGGCAGTCTTCATGGGGAAAATTATGATAAGATGATGATAAGATTATGATGATAAGAGACTATGATAAGATAAGATGATGATAAATGATGATAAATGATGATAAACCGATGAACCATTTTTTGGGGTCATTCGCAGACAACATCACATTAGAATTATTTGGATATTTCAACAAGATTGGTTCAAGCAACCCTCAAAAACCTGTGGGCCTCCGGATCCCTGGGTTGTATATTGCACCATGCCCACCCAACCTTGGATGTAAAACCTCTATTCTGACGAAATCTCTTGTGAACACAGGACAACGAAATTATGTATATATGAGATGCTGTTATCCAAAAAAGTGTAACCAAGCAGATTTTGACCCACAGCCATAGTGAATCATAATCAAATATAGTGAATCTTTCACTCCGATTCCCATCCCACTACCGTTTCCACACTTGGCCATTTACACATGCCTCATCCGAGCTCCACTTCTCTGCCATGGCGTGAAGCACGCAAAGTGATGAACAAACTGCACCAGAGAACACATGGCGTGGCCGTCACATGAGGGCCTGCTGGGTGCCAGTAACAATGCAACAAGCAGGAAAATATCCGGATCTGACATTCAAACGTGGAGATGGATTCTGATATGCTCTGCATCTTTTCTCAATGTAATGTATGTTACTGTATGTTATGTTATGTGCATATCGTCTATGCCCTTCAGAAGCCACTGATGAGAACCAAACCATTTGCGATGGGAGACATCCTCGACTTGGTATGGGCCCCAGCGGCAAATAACTCAAAGACACACAACTGTACCTACCAAGCGAAGGTTTTATATGGTGGTTTCCTAAAATGGGGGGTACCTCAAAATTGATGGTTTATAATGGATAATCCCAATCTAAAATGGATGATCTGGGGGTATATACCTTCATTTTAGGAAACCCCCATATAGCACATCTGAGTGTGAACCATCATGGGCCTGGCGCTGCCATGAAAAATCATTCCATTTCCTTCTGCTGAAACATGCAATCAACCATGACCTGTCGTTAGTCAAAAAATCCTTACCAGGACCTCGACCCATCCAATTTCAGGCCCCCGGCTGGCCCAAATCTCAATCATAGTCGGTCTTTAATCCAAAAAGAATGGAGATCATACGAAAGGAGTAGTAAAATGTCCCCTTGGTTAAAATCACCCCACAACCAAGGGGCATTATATCCAACAATGCATCTGTTTTGGCCATGGTTTATGCACTTGAAATCCCCAAAGTGGGACCTTTCATCCTTGATGATCTACCTATTCTTAGGGTGTTGGTTCTACACATAGGATACATTACATAGGTATCAGCAGCAAAACTAGGGAGACTGGCCCAAAAAGAAGTTAATTAATTAATCAAAACATAGTTGTGAGATGTTATGAGATGGTATGAGATGTTATGAGTTATGAGATCAGGATTTGATTCTGTAGAGATTGCGGTGCTGAAACTTCAGCAACCTACGCAACCAATGGCCGTAAGTTAGTTGGACGAAGGTCATGGCCGCAGAGCACTTTGACGACTTCTAAGACGATAGCCAGGTCTGCTTCCGACCAAACAATCCCGGTCCAACTGGTTGCAGGAAATTGAACTGAACAGTAACTGTCTTTATGCCAGAACGAAGCTCAGAAACAATCCGCACTGCCAAGAGATAATTTTCAGCCGACGCTGGATGCCCGCACTTTGTGAAGCAACAGCTACAAATCGAAACGCCGAACATGCAACCTGAAAATGTAGCACGATGCCCAGAGCGGATCAAAACAGAAGCGCTGTGCGGCTCTGTGTTATCCATATATTGCAATCAGCCTAGTGACTCTCAACGTCCCTCACTACAGGGAAAACCGGTTGGGGGTTCCCACCTCACCTATGAGGCACGCTCCTCAGGGAGCACGGAGTTGTTTTGGCTTGAGCTTAAGCTATCCCGCCCTGCGGACGCAGGTGTATGTGAAAAGGTCAATACCTGACAGGAAAAGAAAGTGGAATGCATCTCAGTGCTTGCATCCCATACACTTCCTGAGCTTTTCACTCCTAGGATAGTGCATCATACTGTACAAAAGACTCGTCCCACGGCCATCGGTTCTTCTCGGCCATCTTCTTCACTTCGTTGATGAAGAATTGTTCATCTTCTTGGAGTTTCCGTTCGAAAGCTCGTTTGCTCACTTTTCGGCCTGCTGTGAAGCTAGGGTCATCTACCAGCTTCCAGGTCTGCTTCTGCGCGAGGAACTGCAAGAAACATTTTCTATCACCAAACTTCGTCAAGGAGTCAGCAAGCTGTGCTAACCCACAAACCCATCTCAGCGAGGTCTGAGCTTTTCGAGCTTGAAGGATCGACAAGGTAAGTTCATACCCAGCCCGGCTTTCTCGAAGCCCGTGGAGCGCGGACAGGTTGCGAGTGGCCGCGTCGAATACTCCACGTGAGTCCATGATCAGGGCTCCAGGCACTGTTGCAATCTGTTGATGCAATTGGGCTCGATCCAACTGGTTGCCCTTGAGCTCGTAGAGGAGTCCTCGGATCTGAAAGTTCTGATCCTCTCCAATGGTGATTGCTTGCACTTCAGCTCCATTTGATCCTAGACATTGACGGGGAGTCTTCCCGCTCTTCCACTGAACAATAGCCACTTGCGCCTCTTGACCGTCCATGATGTAGCGAGGAGCTACGCCAGTGACAATTCCAATCGAACTCGATCGGTCAGGTCGGTTGTGGTTGGAGGCGTCAGCCCATGTGATCACGCTCAGTTCGTCCAGGTCAATGTTCCACGCAGGAAAGATCAGCTTTTGTCCAGCTGTTCGTTTCATCTCCCGAACCAGCTTGTTCACCTTGTGCATGGTGGCAACTGATCCTCGATTCACTTCGGACAACAAGAGGGATGTGTCCGCAAGGAACTGGGGAGCAGATTGAGTTGCACGCCAGCTCGTGGTGCCAAGTGCACCTCGGATCAGGCTGATCTCGTGCTTGGTGAGCTCTGCAGTGGGATTGCGTTTTGGGTCTACTTCTATTTCTTCAACCCATTGGTTCACGTAGTGCTCTTGGTCCAGTGTGATTTCATAGTTCTTCTTCTGGATCACCTGGCATCCTGCAAACTCGAAGCCTTGCAGAGCACTTTCCCACTTTCCAAAACGAAACTTTTCTCTCAGGAACTTCTCCGCATTGGCATATGTGGCTGAACCTTCTCGGCCTGCTATGAGAAAGTCGTCAACGTGAATTCCTGCGACACCGCAGATCCGTTGATTGCCCTTCAGCTCCTCCGACTTCTCCAGCAGAACAAAGAGACATCTATCTCCTTTGAGTTGTGTCCAACCAGATTTTACCATGGTTGCTGCAACTGACTCAAACCATTGCCTTGGGGCATGTCCTAGCCCGTAAAAAGCTTTCAACACGCGAAGTGCTCTTGGGCCACGGGGATCGGCACCGAAGTAAACTGCAAGTTCAGGAGGTGCCCAAACCACAAGTTGTTCATCTTCCAAGGACCCATCAGCCTGCAAGAAGGCTGAAGACACATCACCGCTGTATAGTCGCAGTTGTAGTGCAGCAGCAACTGTGAGAAGTAGATTTCTCCCAGCCTTGGACATTGTGGGGCTGGCTGTTTCCACAGACGTCAAGTTGTGCGCCTGATATCCCAGCACCACTAACCTGGCTTTTGCCGTTGCTTCTTCATTTTCATTTGGGGCCTTCTTCCATGTGAGGACCCATCTCATCTGCATAGCCTTGTTCACGTCCAAGTCCTTGAGTTCCTGTTTGGTCAGATTCCTCAAAGCTCTCGAAGTTGCTACCTGGTTCAGTTCCTTGGCCATTGCCATGTCGAACTTCTGCTTGTCCTCCAAAGAGAGTTGGTTCCAGGAGGCTTCACGCCCTTTCTCACTCATCTTACGACTCAACCAGCATGTTGCTTTTCTCCTCCGAGGGTTCTTGGCCAGGTAGGCAAAGTCGTCCATGGTGACGTCCAGCTCCAGGGCATAGGCAAACTCCTCGTTGAAGTCCTCCGCAAAGAGTTGAGCAGCAGCAGGTTGTCCTTGGTCATCAGGAAGTAGTTCTTCGGATGAGCTTGAAGACAAAGTAGGCGTTGTAGATTTTCCATCATCTCCATCAACACTCTCCTCCTTGTCGGCCTCCTCCACGATCATCTTCTTGCCGTCGTAGGGGTCGTACAGAAACTTGCCCTCGTCATTCTCGTGTGGTCCGTAGTGGCCTCCAGGGAGTTGACATGTAGGCACAGCGCATTGGTTGGATCCAGAGGCTCCTTGTACTTGTACAGGTAGTCCATCCAAGACGTTGCTGCCATGTCGTTGAAGTGTCTCGTTCAATGTTGATGGTGGGATGGCTTCTCCAGGTACTTCAGGAAGAGCTTCTCGGTCTTGTCCAGAAGCATCAGGTTGTCCTTCATCTCGAAGTTTTCTTCCAGGCGCATCAGTCAGGTCAGCCTCAATTTCATCTTGTAGATCTTTGGCTTCTTGTTCCGAGCGCCTTTTCTGGCCTGTCTTTGGGACATTCTTCCGGACCTTTGCAGGTCTCTCCACACTCTTCATCTCCATCAAGGTTTCTCCGACCCATCGGTCCAACAGACTCTTTTGGACTGAGATGTCGTCCTCTATGCGAACTTCATCTCCACCTCCAACAGGACGTAGTACTGTCACACGCTTTCCAGTGAGCTCGTCCATGGAAATGGGACAGGTAGTCAACCTGTATGGTGAAAACAAGGCAAGTCTGGGGAGGTTGTGAATCCTCACCAGAGATTTCACGCCGTTCTCTTCTCGCACGGCCCAAGTGTCATATCTTGGCCCATCTGCAGCGGCTGGAACTTGAACATCAGTTTGAGAGAGGTCTCCCTCAACACGAGCAGGGCTTGGCACATCGCCACTGACATCCATGTAGAATCGACCCTGAAAGGCTCGCATGAGAGACTCCGTCGTGACCGGCATCCTGTAGATTGCTGTTCCCTCCAGAGATGCTGTGAGTTCTTCTCTTCGGGTCACTGGACGGATTTGGTTGTTCTTGGCTCGAATCAGTGAAGAGCCGGTAGCTAACCACATCGTGCTACCTTCGACCAGCACGATCCTCAAAGGACCAGTCCATCCGCCTTTGACTTTTCCAGGACGGATCTTCTGACGCCATAGCATGACTAGCTGGCCAGTCTTGAAGGCACCTGGTGGTCGACCTGTAGAGTTGGCCAATTTGGAAAACTTGTCCCGGGCCTTCTCCTTCTCAAACTCGATTTTGGCTCGTTCACGAGCTTTCAAAAGTCCACTGAAAGCCTTTGCTGCATCGAGTCCATCAGGCAGGGATTCAGAGTGATGGTCCTTGCCGTAGATCCACTGATAGGCTGAAAAGCCACTTGACCCAATGTGAGTTTTCATGGCATGGGTCACCATGTCAAACAGCATAGGGATGCTCCATCGTCCATCCTCTTTCTGCAGCTTCTCAACAGTCCTCTTGGCGATGCCAATCGCAGACTCCTCAGCACCCATCAAGTAGTGCGCTTCAGCTGGGACGCAAGTCAGCCCCACACCAGATCTCGCAAGGAACTCCATGAACTCGATACCGGTGTAGTATGTAGCCGGGTCAGTCACCACCCAGCGGGGGGCTGGATGTCGAGACATCCACTTCAGAAAAGATCTGATCACGTCCTGGCTGCTGGGAGACCATCTTTCGCCAAGCTCTGTCTCTTGCATCATGTCTATCATGGTGAGTCCACTGGCTCGATCTCTCCAGAGTAGGCCAAAGTACTTCTTGTCCAGGGCTTCATATTCGAAAGCATCACTGCCAAGGATCTCGAACAGTTGTGGCTCTTCACCTGTTGAGGCTGGCGGTGAAGGCTTCGGTCTGGCAGCTTCGCGACACTCTGGACATTCCAAAGTTCCGGCCAGGGCTATTGCCCAATCTGGTGAGCCACGAGCTTTCAGGAGGGCTTGCAAGTTGGAGAAACCACTGTGTCCTGAGGCTCGGTGAACTCTCATCATCAGCTGCTTGACAGCTTCCAACTTTTTCCCAGTTGGAGCAATCTCCAGGTTCAACTTGGTCCTGGATAAAGCGAAGACATTCTCTTCCTCCAGGTGCTCGGGGTACTCCAGCATGTTCTCATCGACCTGAAGGATGTGCTTCTCCGTGAGATAGGTCAGGTTCGAGTCATCATGAAGCCACTGTTGCCTCATCGCTCGGAGGACTCCCTTGCAAAGTTGAACAGGGTAATAACTCGACGCCTGAGCAGCTGGTCCTCGGCATTCTGCATGAGAATGGTCGCCGGGACACCGTCGGCATAGTTCTAACCACATTTGTTTGGAGGTGGTAAGGATGGTCCATTGTTTTCGGAGAGGTTCCCCTTTCCATTCAAGTCCATAGGCACAGCCGTCAACTCGGATCTCATAGAGATACCGGCGATGTTTGCGACAGAGTCGTCTCAGTCGTGCAATCGCTCCAGATCTCCATCCTGCAGTTGCTCTGGTTGGCCATTCCCATCCAATGTCTCCTCCATCATGTAGCACAGGGTCCAAAGAGCTCGACACTTCATCAGCACGTCGAAGATCTTGGCCACGTCGCTTTTGGAACTTTGCCAGCTGTTCAGGGGTTCTCTCAGTCAAGTTCTGCAGACTGGATAGCCTAGTGCATGGAAGGCTAACCCACACCAGTTTGGGTGTTGGCGCTTTTGACAAGGTGGTCTTCAAAGCATCAGTGCCAGCCTTCGTGTCAAGGTTGTAGCCGGTGGTGTAGTTCACTCTCAGGCACTGATATCCATTTGCTTCGAAAGTTGCCGTCAAAGTTGAAGTTGGTGAACATGCAACTTCCACCAGGTCGTAGCGGTTCTCGATGGTGGAGAAAATCTCCTTCATGGGGCCCATGACTGCAGCTGTCAAGGTAGCTGCTTTGGCCAATTTCCTCGCCAGAGGTGGCAAGATCTCCCTCTTGGAGATGTTCTTGACGGACAAAATGTCCTGCATCGTAGTGTCTGATGCCGTGGTTGACGTAGTGCACGTAATTTGAAAGTTGTTGGTTGGTTGCGCAGTGGTTGTTGAACTGGATTGGTGGCGGTCGGCCGTCTGCCCATTGCCACTTGCTGCTCTCATCCTTGCCTTCAAAGCATTCAGGGCAGCCCAGATGCTTGCGACGGTGCTACCTCCTCCATCGACCCATCGCTCACCACTTCCACGGAGTCCAGGGTCTGCACGCTCTCCTCCAGAGGTGGCTCCGACTTGGCTCGGGGCTTGTTCTTCACCTTGGCCTTGGCTTTTGCTGCTGGGTCCACCGGAGGGATCGTTTGCTCCGGGGGTGCAAAGGACGGAGTCGGTGAGACACTCCTCGTAGTTCTCGATGGGGTAGCCGGCGCCGGTGTTCTTGTCCCAGTTGTAGTATAGCCCGTGGTATGCTGGGTCTGCCCCATGAGCAGTCTTCCACGGCGCTCGTCGGCTCTGATGTCCACCCTCAGACTCGCGTTTCCTATGGCCACCTGAAGTTGACGACCTTTCAACTCCAGCAGCTTGCCCGCAAAGATCTTCTCGTTCATATTGTCCTTGGTATAGACGGCTTCCAGCTCCTGCTGTGCCACGAGCACCATTTCTGGCGGCGCTCCCAAAGAACGACATTCTCCATGACCTCGGCCTTTGGTTGTATAGGAAAGCCGAAGGCCACATTTCTTGCATGTGGTCCACACAGCAGTTTGGTTGCAGCGCTCCTTTCCCGGATGGTGGGTACCAAGGCACGGCCATCCCATATGACGCGGGTCGGCTTCTGGAGCGGGAACTTTGCTTTGGGCCATCAATCCGATCTTGTAGATCAGCAAGTCTTCGAGCCAAACTCTGCAGCTGGTCTTTCAAGGTGACGTCATGCTGGTCACTTCCAACTTCATCTCCATAGTTTGACACCATCAACACCTGACCTTCAACATCACCTGAACTGACAAGTGCATTTTCGACATGTTGTGGGGAGTCAGCATGTTGGGGTCCATGTTCATGTACTGCATGTGGAACTTCATGTTCTTGGTTTTGATTGGGCTCTACAATGAAGTTGGGGCTGATTCCAACACTCATCTCGTCAGCTGACATCACTTTTTCCACGGTGGCCACGATCTCGGCCGGTTCTGCTGCAGGTGCACTGCTCGAAGAGTTCACCCAGTTGGGCTTCATCTGCATATGACGGCATCCGCGTCCTCCGCACCAGGGCACTCTGCACTGTACCGTAGAGGGAGGTACGAGGTCTTGGTGACGTGCCGCACAGCTCTGGGACACCAGAACTGCAGGTTCCAGTGGAGGTCCAGGCATCTCCAAGCATGTAGTGCTCGGGCTGTCCAGGTCGAGGTCGATGTAGTTCGGCATAGTTGCAGCTGTGGTGGCTCCGGTGTCTCCGAAGCTGGCCTCCTCTGCTGCTTCACCCATGTGGTGATCTCCATCATCATCATCTCGAACATCTCGACGTCCATCAAGGCTTCCACTGGCATTGACTGCTGCTTGGCGCACCACTCCATGAACTGAGAATCCAAAACCTGCTGGAAGAGCACCTCGGTTGCGGTTACCACCACGACGTGCAACACGTCGACCATGATGATCACCAGGGTCATCGTCATCATCTCCAGGTCCTTCATCATCATCGCCCGGAGGGGGAAGGTTCCGCAGCCGATCCAGGGTAGTCTCCAGTCTTGTTGGCTCCTCTGACAAGTCGATGGCTACGTGTCGTCCTCGTAGCTTGTACAGGGTGTTCGTCCACCAGGCTCCATCGACATCACGGTGAGCAAAGTACTCACCACAGTAGGCCACAACAGCCAACCGGTTCCAGAGTTCTTTGCCGCCAAGAAGTGCAGGGGTGTTCTCCGCCTGGCCGTCAAGCACATAGAAGCTCACCATCTCCAAAGCCTTCGTCACCACGTCAATTCTTGATGACGCCTGTTGGGTATGTCCGTTCCCAAACCTAAAAACTGGTCGGTCTGAGAAACAAACATCATAGCGGGGCACATCGAAGGAATCCAAAAGTCTGGCCATGTTGTTCACGCCACAGACAGATTCTGTTGCGCCCGTGTCCACAATCACCCGGAAAGCATTCTGGGAATTCATCTCTGCATCGTGGGACTGGAGGCTCATCACATGAATCTCGTTCTCCACATCCTCGTGGAGCTCCAAGTCCAAGTAGTACGCATCCACATAGTAGGAAGGGTACTTGCCTTTCTTCCCCTTCATCTTGCCCTTGCCTTTTGCAAAGCCCTTGTTCGTTGGACTTCCAGATGGACTTCCGGAAGGTGTTCCGCTCCGGACTTGGTGTCGATCCGGACATTGCTGGTACGTGTGGTTGGGGCTCTTGCAAATGAAACAAGGTCCAAAGGTCTGCTTACCCTTGGATTTTCCTTTCTTGCCTTTGCCTTTGCTGGCACCTTTCATTCCTGCTGCATCGTAGTATCCACGAGCAGCTCTGACTTTTGCCACGGCCTCTCGGGCCTTACTCAAGGTCTTGGCCGCTTCCTGGGACATTGCGAAAGCTTCTTCATACGCCTCCTTTTCCGGGATGGAACCGAGGTCTGCCACATCGTCCTGCTTCTCGTAGTTCTCCGCCGTTGGACTTCCATCTGTCCAACTCCAGTCATCAGGCCAGTCTTCAAAGTAGGCCTCGCCATCCGTAGTGTTCCAGTCATCTGTCCAGTAGGCGTTCTCATCAGCTGTCCACCATTCATCGGACCATTGCTGTCCGTCATCGTCCCAGTCATCCCATTCTTGGGACGTCCACCAAACCATTCTCTTGGGTCTGGACTGCAAGGCTTCCTCAGAGGTCTCCTCGGCAAAGAGGGTTCGAAGAGCTCGTCGAATCTCCACAAACCGGGTTGAGTTCGACGTCAGGGTCAGTATGTGCTGACGTTCCTGTTGGCTCAGCTTGGCAGCCTTCAGGAGTCTGTATCCCCTGAGCTCATCACCAAAGAAGTCCTTCTCGAGGTTCTCCACATAGGTCGCTGTAGGCGGTGAAGTCCTTGTAGCGCCTTCGGCATCTTGAGGTACTCCAAAACCAGGTGACATAGAGGGAGAAGACGGAGGATCTCGTTCTTCGGCAGAAGTTCCCACATGTGTTGAGGTCATCTTCGTGCGTTCAGCTCGTGCACGTTGTAGTGCTTGCTGCAATTCCACAAACCTTTCCTCTTCACGGACTAACAGCTGTGGAATCGTTTCCTGTGGGCTTCTTCTCAACGAGCTCCAGCGCTCCAGACGGCTAAAGCTGTCAGGGACAGGTAGCTGTTGAAGCGGTGACTGCCGTAACACCTCTAAGAGCTTAGACAGGCCATTGGGCTGGTCAAAGCCTGATGGTTCAAGGTGTCGAACCACCGACTTAGCAGCTCCAGTCAGCTTTTGCCACACACGGCTTGCAGCCATAGGTCTCTCTGAGGGCTTCAACCCTTGCTCGTACCATCTGCAGTTCTGGACGAACTGTTCGAAGCTGGCTGGATCACCATTCCAACTTGGTGGCCCTTGGTTGCTCTCTTCAGGCATGTTCTCACCCTCGTTCACTTCCAAGGCGTCCTTGAGGTACACCTAGTAGTCCAAGGCAAGGCCCTCACGCAGGGCTCCGCTGACCATGCAATCAGCCTAGTGACTCTCAACGTCCCTCACTACAGGGAAAACCGGTTGGGGGTTCCCACCTCACCTATGAGGCACGCTCCTCAGGGAGCACGGAGTTGTTTTGGCTTGAGCTTAAGCTATCCCGCCCTGCGGACGCAGGTGTATGTGAAAAGGTCAATACCTGACAGGAAAAGAAAGTGGAATGCATCTCAGTGCTTGCAATATGTTTAGCCCGAATGGAACTGCTGATTTCTGCGAATCCAGGAGGGCAAACCCAAATTAATACCTAGTTCTTTGTACTTCTGCCGCAAGTTTTGGTCCTTTCAAATTACTAAATCTTGTCCAAGCCTGAGCCGCCCAATTCCAGGCCCCTAATGGTTCTGGCATGAACAATCCTTCCATTCTGCCTGCAAAAGGATCTCCATGCAATTCTTACATTTTTTTTTCCATTGTGTCCATCTCCTTCTGTAGGAAAATGCAGAAAACACAAAGGAATCATCTTGTTGGGGCGACCTGACCTGAACTAAACATCAAAAATATAGGCTGAACCTTTAAAATCCATTCCATCACAAATAAAATGTCTATATTTGTGTTTGGTGATGAAAAACACCAACATATACTATACCTATTTGGTCTTTGCAAACGGGGTTCAAGCCAAAAACTATGGAGGGGTGGGATAGTGAAAATGGTGGAAACCAACCAACAGCATCTGGATCAGAACATAGTTGCGAACCATTGTTGAGTATGTAAAAACCTCCAATTTGTATAGTTGCTTTCAAAAATCCAATGAAAACATCCATGTGCTGGGAGGTCACCTCGATCCCTCAGCGGCACTTGGCTGCTTTGATCTGATGCCCGGACTGGAACGCAACACATCCACATACTTGCACGTTGCCTCGTGTGTTGTGGTTCTTGCCAACATAACCCTATTGTTCATTTTCAAGTTAACAAATTGCTGGCTTTGAACATGAAAAACAATGGCTGCCAAAAACCCGAACGAAATACAACATGGAGAGTCCTGGAGAAAATAACATGTTGTTGTGAAACTATTCCACTCTTGTGAGACGCTCCAATCAATTCTTCATGTGGGACGGAACACGCTATCTCCTTTGAGTTTTGCCAGACACTCGCGGAAGACTGTTGTATATGAGGTTTCACGCTCTTCTAAGACACCTTTGCCAGACACTGTTGTGAGACATTTTTGGAAAACATTGACAAATGATGCATCAAGCTTTGGAGGACGTGATGACCAAACAAAATTATGCTCACCACAGGCATGTAGTGTTATAATGTGTTATACTATGCTATACTGCTATCCATGAATTTGCCTGGATCCCTCAAAATCACCACATTGGCAGTGTGCGGGTGGAAGTTCGGCCAAGAAATGTGAAACTGTGAAACAAGTTTCCATGCTCAGCAAAGTACCGGCTTCGGTGGCTCCCAACGAGCTGCCTCATTGGTTGCCGCGCTCGAATGGATCCCTATCTGATCTGACCAATACCTCCATATGGCTCCACTAGTCCATTTCCACATATAGGGGACCTCCACAAACCCTGAAAAAGTCGTCAAAATGTGCGTTGCATTTGTTCATGGTTGCACCGGGTGGCCTGGAGTCAAAGGCAACAAAAAACCAAATAACGGTGCCAAGATGTGCTAAGAATAACCACGACCGGAGTTAGCAACAAAACGAAACGTCCAGGTGTTGCTGTTCACAAACGGCGATCTTTTTCAGTTCCACCTCACGTCTCATAAGGAGATTACATGAGGAGGAATACCCAAAAGAAACGATTTCTTTCATATAATCCACAATGGCCCAAGACATGGAAACCAAAATACAGCTGATTCCAACTCACCTCTGCAACGTTTTGCTCACTATCAGCAAGTAGCAGAAACACCCTGCATCTTTCAATGAGGGTGGACATCCTATGACATCCTATGGACGTTTGCCAGACTTGCCGACACATAGAAGTCTCCGAGCATCCGGCCTTCACACGTCGCAACGGCCTGGGCCTCGGCACCAACATCTGCAACGGTGGAGAATCCGAGCTGCGGCCGTGCGGCCAAGCCACGGCTTCGAGGAGCTGCTCGACTTTGGCTTTCCCTCTCTCTCTCGCCAAGTGAAACGGAGTTTGTCCTCACAGCAGTGACCAACGGGGCTGAGCCCATGAAAAAACCTTCTGATCATGTCGGAACCACCAATATATACCGTTTGAGTCTTTGAACAAAGCCATTCTCAAAGCGACTATGTTAACAAATGACTTTTCTGCACAAAGAGATGCAAATTCAGATCTCAAGACAGACGGTCACGCGCAAATAGAAGCCAAACGAGTCGCGTCCGAACTGAGGCCCCCGGCCATCATTGTTTTGCACATCCACCGGTGCATTGGCCGCGAGCAGCAGCTCCACCACCTTTGCTCTGCCATTGTACACTGCATCGTGCAATGGGGTGTCACCTCGGCCCAACGCCAACACACTGCGAGGGAAGGCTTTGAACAAAGCCATTCTCAAAGCCACTGCGAGCCGGTTTTTCTTTCAAGAAACTTCATCAAGCCCCATTTACACTATATGAACCCATGTGAAAAATGGTGAAAGCATCTCATCTGCACTGCATAATCATCCTTTTCTACATGACTTACCTTCAAATGGTAAACCGAACTTGTTCAAAACCCAAGTTGCTTAAGGAAGCTGTTTTCTCCTCTCCAATTTGGACAAACTTCATCAAAATACCTTTCAACTACAAAATGTGAATATTACCTTTACAAAAAACGTGTGATTTTATCTGCATCTTGAATGCAGGCTGCTACCAAGTGAAGCCAACAACGAAGCGCCAAGGCCAGAGATCCACAGGTACCCTGCAGCTGAGGCCCCCTGCCGTCTTTGTCTTGCACCGCCAGCGACGCCACCTCCACCAGGAGATTCACCACCTCCACGTGGCCTTCTGCAGCTGCCCACTGCAACGGAGTTCCGCCTCGGGCAGCCCATGCGGCAGAGACATTTCTCGCTGAATGTGGAGAAAGAGTCACAACCGAAACCCGTTGGGATCGAACAAAGTTCACCAGACGGTCACAGTGTCAGGAGACAGGAGACTTGCTTCGCCAAGGTCGTGAGAAATGCACCGGGTTCCAAGGACGGTTTGCTTGGAAAGTTTCCTGAAAGGACTCAAACTGTCATATTTTTTGCAGCTATCTAAATTAGAAGTGAAGGAATAAATATCCCTAACCTTCCAACCACAAGCTTTAACGTTGTGGTGAGTCTAACTGCATGTCTTCACTGAACCCCAACATTTCACTGCTATTCACTGCTTATAGGCATCCTAGGTCCATTTTACATCTTGTGAACTTGTATCATCTTATGTCAAGTTTGTCATAGGCATGCGAGAGAACACACTGCAAGCTGAAGACAAAGGGTTTGAATCAGCCGAGGCAGTGTACACATATTACGAAATGGTACCGAAAAATGTACCGAATGCCTTGATGCGTCACACCAATACAGGTTGCAGAGCAAGCAGATTCAAAGCCTATGTCACATGTATTCGAACTCCATCTCCCCGGGAGAAAGATTGCGGGAGATCTGTCAAAAGCATGGCGAAAGAAAATAAACACTGTAAGGAGATTTGCTTCGCCAAGGTTGTGAGAAACCTCATAGGTCTTTAGCGCATTCTGTTTGGAAAAAGTATCAACAAATGTGACACCAAGTTATTCAATGACCTTAAATCGAAGAATTCACTTCTAGACACGGAAGATGTGGACACCTGTCTTAACAAATGACTTTTCTGCTGGAAAGATCTATGAATGACTATCTCCAGACAGACGGTCACGCGCTAATAGAAGCCAAACGAGTCGCGTCCGAACTGAGGCCCCGGCCATCATTGTTTTGCACATCCACCGGTGCATTGGCCGCGAGCAGCAGCTCCACCACCTCTGCGCTGCCATTGTCTGCTGCCCCGTGCAATGGCGTGTCACCTCGGCCCAACGCCAACACACTGCGAGGGAAGGCTTTGAACAAAGCCATTCTCAAAGCCACTGCGAGCCGGTTTTTCTTTCAAGAAACTTCATCAAGCCCCATTTACACTATATGAACCCATGTGAACTAGACGACGGTTGGCCCGAGAGCGAAAAACACGTTTTTCAAGCAGCTCTGAGTATGGTAGTCGTAAAAAATAGTCGGTGAATGGTTGGTGAATTTTATATGAGCTATGGAGGGATAGGTTGTGAAAAGTAAGATTGATTAAGAAGAGGATACATGTGACAACCCATGATATGCACTGTGCTGCTTGTTATAAAGGGCATCATGTGACACTTGTCTTGCACCCACAGAGAGACATAGATAGAGAGAAAGGGGGGGAGAGAGAGAGAGAGAGAGAAAGAGAGAGAGAGAGAGAGGGAGAAAGAGAGCAGGGTCTTCTGTTGTTAGTATTGAGACACTATATTGCAAGACAATATATTAAAGATGTATTTTAGGCAGGCAAGACAAGTCTTATCAAGACAGTATATTACAAGTACAATTCTTAAGACACGAGTTTGCATCAAATCCTTCGTTTTGTTTTTCACACACAGAACCTTTTACACACAGACGCTTTTGCACAGAAGCTGTTACACACAGGAGCTTTTACATACAGAGACTTTTACACACAGACGCTTTTACCCACAGACGCTTTTACGCACAGACACTTTTACACAGACACTAGACACTTTTACACACATAGGTTTTTACACACAGAGGCCTTTACACACAGACGCTTTTACACACAGAACCTTTTACACACAGGCGCTTTTACACACAGAAGCTTTTGCACACAGAAGCTTTTACACACAGACTCCTTTACACACAGACGCTTACACAGAGATTTTTACACACAAACGCTTTTACACACAGACGCTTTTACACACAGACGCATTTATACACAGACCCTTTTACACACAGACGCTTACACAGAGACTTTTACACACAAACGCTTTTACACACAGACGCTTTTACAGGCAGATGTTTTTACACACACACACACACTTTCACACACAGAGGCCTTTACACACAGAAGCTTTTGAAGAGTGTCGCTCACTGACATTTTATGGTCCTGAACTCAAACTTTTCTGTTTTTGACATCAAGCACATGATGGCATGGAGTTCTGTTGCAAATGTTTGCAGACATTTCGCTAGTGAAGTATTGTCACATGTGTGATTTACAGCATCATGGTACCGATCTTTTTGAACCATTTATGTGGGATTTTCCATTAAAAAAAATGAAATAACATGTGTCATACACAGCATCATGGTACCGAGCTTGTTTGGGCCATTTATGTGGGATTTTCCATACTAAAATGAAATAACATGTGTCATACACGGCATCATGGTACCGAGCTTTTTTGATATATGGGCTATTCCCAGAATAAAATGAGATATTGTGTGTGTCATTTACTGCATTATGGTATTGGACCTTTTTTTTTGCAAACGCTTGCAGACATTTCACTAGTGAAGTATAGTCACATGTGTGATTTACAGCATCACGGCACCGATCTTTTTTGGGCCATTTATGTAGGCTTTTCCATTTAAAAAATGAAATAACATGTGTTATACACGGCATCATGGTACCGAGCTTTTTTTGGGGGGTCATAATGAAATAACATGCGTCATACACAGAGGCTTTTACACACAGACGCTTTTACACGCAGATGCTTTTACACACACACACACTTTCACACACAGAGGCTTTTACACACAGACCCTTTTATACACAGAGGCTTTTACACACAGACGCTTTTACACACAGACGCCTATACACACAGACACTTTTACACACAGACACTTTTACCCACAGAAGCTTTTACACACACACACACACTTTCACACACAAAGGCTTTTATACACAGAGCTTACACAGAAGCTTTTACACACACACACACTTTTCTTGTACACACACACACACTTTCACACACAGAGGCTTTTACACACAGACGCTTACACAGAGACTTTTACACACAGATCCTTTTACACACACGCGCTTTTACACACAGACCCTTTTACACACAGACCCTTTTACACACAGACACTTTTACACACAGACGCCTTTACACACACACACACACTTTCACACACAGAGGCTTTTACACACAGAACCTTTTACGCAGAGACTCCCTTACACACAGGCACTTTTGCACACAGAAGTTTTTACACACAGACTCCTTTACACACAGACGCTTTTACGCACAGACCCTTTTACACACAGACGTTTTTACACACGGACGCTTTTACACATAGACGCTTTTACACACAGACGCTTTTACACACAGACGATTTTACACACAGACGCTTTTCCACACAGAACCTTTTACACAGATACTCCTTTACACACTGACGCTTTTGCGCACAGAAGCTTTTACACGCAGACGCTTACACAGAGACTTTTACACACAGAAGCTTTTACACACAGACGCTTTTAGACAGACTCCTTTACACACAGGGGCTTTTACGCACAGAAGCTTTTACACACAGACCCCTTTACACACAGACGCTTTTACACACAGACGCTTTTACACACAGACCCTTTTACACACAGACGCTTACACAGAGACTTTTACACACAGACCCTTTTACACACAGACGCTTACACAGAGACTTTTACACACAGACCCTTTTACACACAGACGCTTACACAGAGACTTTTACACACAAACGCTTTTACACACAGACGCCTTTACACACACAGACTGTCACACACAGAGGCTCTTACACACAGAACCTTTTACACAGAGACTCCCTTACACACAGACGCTTTTGCACACAGAAGCTTTTACACACAGACGCTTACACAGAGATTTTTACACACAAACGCTTTTACACACAGACGCTTTTACACACAGACGCATTTATACACAGACCCTTTTACACACAGACGCTTACACACAGAGACTTTTACACACAAACGCTTTTACACACAGACGCCTTTACACACACACACGCACACTTTCACACAAAGAGGCTTTTACACACAGAACCTTTTACGCAGAGACTCCCTTACACACAGACGCTTTTGCACACAGAAGCTTTTACACACAGACTCCTTTACACACAGACGCTTTTACGCACAGAACCTTTTACACTCGCTTTTACACACAGACGCTTTTACACAAAGACGGTTTTACACAAAGACACTTTTCGAAGGAAGTTTAGAAGTCAAACTTCCGACAATATGGACAGATGAAAAGCAGAGCAGGGCAGAGGCAGAGAGAAGAGAAAGATTAGAAGAGAGAAGATCAGAAGAGAAAGAGTCAGAAGAAAGAAGATGCAGATGCGCGAAAAGGTAGGAAAGTCGCGAAACACTTTGTTTTTCCAATGATTTGAGGCTCCGGAGGGTCGAAAAGTAGGCTCGCTAAAGCGGCGGGTGCGGAGCCAGCTGGCCAGATGAGAGATGAAAATTTGCACACCGTTGTGGCGCGAAGCACATTTTGAAGTCAAAATGTACAAAACACACCATGGTCGGACCACTTTTGGAAGTTGCGATGTCGAAAAAGTGCACGCCGTTGTGGCGCGAAGCACATTTCCAAGTCAAAATGTACAAAACACCAGGGGTTCGGACCACTTTTGGAAGTTGAGATGTCGAAAAAGTGCACCCCGTTGTGGCGCGAAGCACATTTCCAAGTCAAAATGTACAAAACACACCATGCTCGGACCACTTTTGGAAGTTAAGATGTTGAAAAAGTGCACGCCGTTGTGGCGCGAAGCACATTTCCAAGTCAAAAGGTACAAAACACACCAGGTCCGGACCACTTTTGGAAGTTGAGATGTCGAAAAAGTGCACGCCGTTGTGGCGCGAAGCACATTTCCAAGTCAAAATGTACAAAACACCTCAGCCTCGGACCACTTTTGGAAGTTGAGATGTCGAAAAAGTGCACGCCGTTGTGGCGCGAAGCACATTTCCAAGTCAAAATGTACAAAACACCACATGTTCGCGCCACTTTTGGAGGTTCAGATGTCGCTTCGCCGCTTCGCTTCTACGTTACATTACACCACACTCCACTATACTACACTACATTACACTACACTACACTCCACAACTCTACAACTACAACTACACAACTAGACTACACTCCACTACACTCCACTACATTAAATTTCACTACGCTACATTACACTACACTACGCTCCACTACACTACACTACATTAAATTACACTACACTCCACTACACTACATTACACTACACTACGCTCCACAACACTACAACTACAACTACACAACTACACTCCACTACGCTACATTACACTACACTACACTCCACTACACTACACTACACTCCACTACACTACACTACATTACACTACACTACCTTCCACCACACTTGACTACATTACACTACACTACATTACACTACACTACAACTACAACCACGACTACACAACTACACTCCACTACACGAAATTACACTACACTACATTACACTACACTACACTACATTCCACTACACTCCACTACATTACATTACACTACGCTACAATACACTGAATGACACTGCACCACAGATAGACAGGTAGACAGATAGACAGGTAGACAGATAGACAGATAGACAGGTAGACAGATAGACAGATAG